CAGGAGATTACAAATCCGAGCGGATGGAACTGAGGCAAGCCGCAGCTTGAATCGAGTTGGACACGGACCGAGCGGACAATGGCAATGGATGGGAAAGAAAAGATGACGGTAGAACACTTTGTGTGAGCACACTAGCAAAGTAGAGTAGCAAAACCGATATGGGTACAGTACAAAGCGATGGAAGTCTGCAGTGCGTCTGGAAACGTAGAGCGATGCGGAGGAATTCGACGGTGAGTGTGAGCGGAATTGACGGATGGATGGATGGTTCAATTTCAACACAGAAGCTGTTGTAGAACGTGACCTGGAAAGCAGGAGTAACAGTCACCTAGCCATTATTCAATCCCCTTCAATTTCTGTTTCGGAAAAGAGGCGTTGTTACTGCTGGCTGGCTGGCTGGCTGCCCGGTACCGTACTCAACTGGCTACTTCCCGGTCTGTATTTAGGGGGCGGTGTTTGGAGTGTGTGACCGCCACTGCGGGCATTTGAGGTGCGACCAACGGGACCAACCTAAGTGGAAGTGGAATCTCTATGAGACTGAAAATAAAGCTAAAAGTTGGGCCACGACAGCGGGTTGACAAGTCCAAATCCATTTCTAGGTAGGGGTGTCCACGATACTATCGCTTGGAGGAGAATGGGAGGAGCTAGTGTACACCCGACACTCACCACTCGGCAGCAGCCACGGACTCGGGTCTCTCACTGCACCAAGACACCATGACAAACCTGGGCTGGCCTGAGTCTTCCTTTTCTCTTTCCGCGGATTGCTTGGTGCAGGTGCTGCGGGCCTGGCTGCTGCTGCTGCTGCTGCTGCTGCTCCTCCTCACCTCTCGTCTGCTTGTCGGCCGGGGGAAGGAGAGAAAAGCTTCCACAAGTCTATTCGCCACCCTCGACACTGATTGGCTGTTCAGTGCAGGTCCTTCCTTGGCCTCTTGATTTTCCACAGGGCACCTCACGATCAGCCTTAGTGATAGGGTCACAGTGCCGAGTGTAGTGGACGGGCAGAGGGTGAGCAAGCTTGTGCACTTACTTCTGCCTGCCTCGAGATAATCAATGATTACATTGCTGCGCTGCTGCACTGCATCAGTTTTCAATTTCCCTGACCGGCAGTCATGGTGACAGTCTCAGCTTTGGGTTGCCGTCCGCACGCCGTGTCCCGTTTGGGGTGAGATGGGACGTTGGGACTCATCGCTATCCGGTGGTTGGTAATGGTCGGCATCAGAATACGGAAGAGATTTCAAAATGAACTCGTTCATGTTGCGACCCTGACCCTATCCGATCGATGCTTCATCCTCGTTGAGGGGGGACGAGTCTTTCCTTTTTCCGCCGCTATTCCCAGGCAGACATGATAGACCAGACCACAGATATTGCGTCGACTGCGTAATGACTTTTCTTGTCACTTGAATGGCCAAACTTGCTAGACTCTGCCTGAGCCTGCCTGACACGGAAAAGGTGTGTTGCAGCGGTAACCCCGGGCCTCGAATCCATTTCACCGTCAGACGGGCGGTGGCGGCATTGCATTTGTTTGGATCAGCATCCCGTCCAATGCTTGGATGCTTGACCTCTCGCTTTTTCTGCGTCTTGCCAGTGATGAAGGTTTCCCGACGTTTCACAGCCTGACTTATGGTAGTCCTTGGGCGCGCCCTGCTGCTTCACCCGTTGATGGCTGGAAGAGCGAGGGGGAGCCTGTCTTGGGAGTACTGAGATATCGCCGCCCGGTCTGCCTTGATGCCTTTCTCAACACTCGGAATTCACTTCAAACATTGGCGTGGTTGGTTGGGGGTTTTGGTCTGCTTGTCAACGGAGAGCCAAGGCTTTTTGATTGCTCGGGCCCCGCCTTTTTTCTTCACGGCCCGCGGACATCTCCTAGAGGACCCACCCATAACGGGCGGAGGCCCTCGCAAGACACACCACAACAGACACGCACCCCCCTGCTCTCTCAAATGGTGCTGATGACGCAGACACTTGCAAGCCAGCATCCAGGCCATCTTGAGCCCATGATTCGTTGCCATGAAACTGATGTCAACGATTTGACTGACTCCATCCACGACTACACTACATACTGCCATTCGACCATCTTATCCACCTTCTAATCGATCGTCTCTCCCATCGCTTCTTAGAGCCTCAACATCACCATCAACGAGCGACCAAATAGCATCAAATAGTGGGCGACGAACGATACAATGGCGTCCTCCCAATTCAACCTGCCGCCTTCCCTCGAGGCGAGCCGTATAATAGGCCTGCCGCCCTCGGCTTATTACATCGCGGATTTCATCAGTGAAGAGGAGGAACAGAAGATTCTTGAAAAGGTATCATCATGACTAGCTTGTTGTTCCCTGGCTCCCTCTTCATTCTCTAATCACCATGACGGGCCAAAAAAAGGTTGAGAGGGCTCCTAAAGCAAGATGGCGTCAACTCACCCATCGCCGACTTCAAACATGGCCTTCGGATCTGGTTAAAAATACCCTCCTAGATGGCCAACCATTACCAGTTTGGCTAGAAGAACCGGTCATCTCGCGTTTGCTCTCCGTCCCAGTTTTGCCGTCCTCATCCGATAGCAGTGGCGATGAGAAAGAGAAACAGCAGCAGCAGCACATCTTCGCGGATAGCCCCCACGGCCGGCCTAACCACGTCCTTATTAACGAATACCCTCCCAACACGGGCATTATGCCGCACAAAGACGGAGCGGCATACCACCCCGTGGTTTGCACAGTGAGCCTTGGATCGAGTCTGTGCCTCAACCTCTACAAGGCCAAAGAAGACGGGGCCCTTGATTCGGAGCCCGTGTGGAGGATTCTCCAAGAGCCGCGCAGCTTGTTAATTACCACCGCGGACCTGTACACTGAATACCTTCATGGCATTGACCCTCTTTCGGCCGACGTGAACATGTCGGAGCGGACCATTGCAAACTGGAGTCTTCTCCGCGAGCCGTCGCTGTACCAAAACGGGGAAAACCAGAGGGGAGTCCGGGTCAGCCTCACGTATCGCGATGTTCTGAAAGTCTCCAAGCTGGGGAGCAAGCTCGGTCCTATGTTTAACCGTCGTCCGTGAGTTCAAACAGACAAACGAAGAAGCAGAGGAAAAGAATCACAAAATGAAGGGTATCATGTCCCACTTTGTTTCCACCGCCTTGCTCCCAAACTTCTCGGCGTACCACTTCCGCGTACCCGCTGCCGTCACCCCGAGGTTGACCACGACAAACACCAAAGCGCACAAGAGCGTCCTGTTAAGCAGCTCTCCCTGGGGAGCGGCAACGATCGCGAGTGAAAGGTAGACCAGACATTCGCAGAAGTAGTGAGGACAGATCAGGTAGCGGAACAGGCCCAGATCAGGAAGGGAATACTTCTTCAACCCGGCGAGGTGCCTGTGACATCTGTACTGGTTGACTGAAGCGTAGAGGAACATGAAGGTTCCAACCAACGCCTTGAAAGATGGCATGGTATAATCGATTGCTCCTGTGGATTGGTAGTCCAGTATGGCCCCTAGACACATTCAATGTTAACACACCAAAAAACAACAGCACAACAACTCTACTCCAGGAACACCTTACCAGATCCCTCAACCCAAACAGCCACGCTGGTAAACAGATAATAACTGAGCCCCAAAACCCAATGCACGATCCACATGGTAGATTTGGACTTTCCGTGCACCAACGAGTCTTCATACAGCCGTCTGCTTCCCTGGAGGAACATCATCGTCCAGGCCAGGCCGACTTGACCGAGAGTAACTGAAGACGCCGACACTCCTCCTCTTTCATCTTCCCCCTTCGCCGTAGGAGAGGCTTGACTGCAAGTAACCACCCTCAACACCCTCCCATCAACAGCAAACTGCCAAAACCACAACAGCGAGCATGCCATAGATGCCACGTAAAACGTGATGAACCAGGAGTGCGGAACTTGGCCGTAGGAGGTGAGGGTGTCGGTTAAGGAGAGCAACCAGTTCTTGCCGCCGCGCTCCACACGATTGGCTTTGGCTTTGACTTCGGCTTCACTTCCCGTGCCTCTGCCGGTGTCGTTCTCCTCTTTCCCCTCAGATCTAGACCCAGACCGAGACACCTCGGACTGAACTTTCCTCGCCCCATAATCAACCAGCCTCCTGCTTACTTCATTGGGCATGGCTGCTACGGCCACCACCGCGCCCGCGGTAAAGAGGTAGTAGGCTTGGCACCATTGTGAGGGGGTGATATCGTTCAGCCTCTGTAGAACCGCTGCTAGTGTAGTGTTGTCGAGTAATGGCTTCCACAGGTCTTCCATCTTTTCTTGCTAGTGATTTGTTGGGTGAGCATGAGTGGTTGAATGGCTCCGATTTGTCTCGAGGCCTCGGATGTCCGGTGTTTAGTCCCGGTAAACTAAAGTGCCTAGGAAGTGGTCGTCGTTGGTCGGTATGTTGCTACTATGTAGCGAGTTGAGGTGGTTTTCGACGGAACGGTCTATCGACTTTCCACGTGTTGACTCTTCTTTTGTTCGTTGAGGTCGGACGACCGTCGTTGGTCCCTTGTCATTCAGTTGGACTCGCCGCTATCTCTTTCCGGGTTTCGGGCAGCATGTGAAGTGTCAGTCAGGGTTCAGTGTTCGTTGGCAAGCGCGAGCGCTTCTGCAACTAGAGGTAAGCAGCGCATCGTCCGGTTGGTCCGTGCTTGGCTAGCGCCAACACCACTGCAGTTATTTAGCTTCCACTTCCTTTGGCAACGACGAGTGACCTCGATGAAACTACCTACCTAGGTTAGCCGGTGTAGATGGAGCTCACAGCAGGTGGAAGGACCATTCTTTGTTGATAGCGCATTTGGATATCCTACAGCATTACTGGAAACAGCGAGAGAGATTCGGCTTGTGGACAGATACGATGTGGTGGTATTTCTATCGCAAACTCGGAGGAGAAAAAAAGAACTAAGACTTTTGAAGTAGACATGGATGATGGGTTTCACTACTCACTAAACCTAATACCAAGTATGATAATCTCGATCCTATCACTGCCTTCTTCTCCCGAGCCCCAAACCACTCGATCTCCTACCCATCCATCACCCTAAAAGGTGAAACTACCCCGTGACCAGAATTTGGAGACTGCGGTGACAGAGGAACAATAGGAGAGAGACTCATAGTCACACTACTGGCGCCATCCGCGCCCGAAGCCTCGCGAGTCAGATCCGTGCTGATGACCAGGTCTTCCTGTCCCTTGAGGTGCAACACAATCGTTAATCCATGGATACCTGTACTTGGATCATGGTGGCAACCAGTTTCCTCTTCAGATGACCCTTCTCCTTGTCTTATAATCTCTTGTGGTGTTGACGATGATGTGTATCCGTAATCAACTTCAATCGGCGGGCGGATTTCGTCAGAGCTCGTCCTCTCTTGAATAGCCCGACGAACATCACTAAGGTGATCATGGATACCAGCAGACGACGCAATCGGGGCTTTTTTCGGTGATGGCCTGTTGTCTAGCGTCTTAGCGGTGGGCGTAGAGACAACATTGGAGGTAAGCAAAGGTGCTGTCTCACTCTCCCTCCTGGTTGTTACTCTGTGGTTGCTGTGTTTTGTCCTGTCTACGATGGCATCACGAAACTGATAGGATGTCACCGGGGAGCGCGAAGGAAGGGATGATAAGCTTGTAAAGTCACTGTAAGTCTGATGGTGTATGTCCTCCACAGCTGGAGGAGAATGAGGGCCCTTGACGCGTTGTCCAATGGGCTGCCGAGCCGAATGTAGTGATGAGCGTTGCTGTTGCTGTTGCTGTAGCCACTCTTGGCTATGGCTGCCGGGGAAACGTGAAGTGGTTGGTGTCGGCGTTCGATTCTGGCTGTGACGTCTATCGCCGCCAGCGCGCTTTGCACCATTTCCTGAACTTGGAGTAAGCGTTCGGCCCGGCCGTGGTTTCGGAGTTGTAACCACGCTGCGAATGGTTGAGGGGGTAGAACAGCCTGAGTAGGTAGAACGATCGGACTGCATTTCTGATATCCGGCTAATGACTGTGGCCAGTCCGGCCTTGTTGCCGCTTCTGCTGTCTGCTTGGAGCGGATGCCGATTCCCCTTGCTTGAATTGGAGGCCTGCTCAGATACTGGTAAGCCGAGAATTCGCGCCTTCAGGTCCTCGCTAACTTTGCGGCCGACCTTTCGGGCGTGCCCATGTAGTGTTGTCTGTTCGTGAAAATCACCGCTATGTTGATGATCCCCGTGCTCTCCTTGTCGCTCCTGTACCCCGTGACGCGACTCCTCGCCTTTCTCGACAGTCTGTCTCTCTAGCTGATCAAGCTGAGGAAAATATGGGTTAGTGACAGTCTCGCGCGCTGATGTCTCCTGAATGGCATGACTACCGACAGAAGCACCAGTTCGTTTACTGTCACCAATGTTGGAAGTCATAGCTGTAGCTGTACGGGTCACACTTCCAGTCCGAATGCTATTTCCGGGAGGTACAGCTCTCTTCGTCTGATTGGAATTGCCTCCTGTTCTCGTCGATGGGAATTTTAACCATAGCGGCGGACTGGATACCTTCACCTTGGGCATATAATACCGATTAGTGGCATGAACGCTACTATCACTGCTACTTTTCACGGTCTCGGCGTCCGCTCCTGGAGATTCGTCCGATGCCCGTGAGCTTGGCCCATTCGCGAGTTTTCTAGCCTGTCGTTTCACTGCCGAGAACTGTCTTGCCACAGCAGGTTGAGCGGGCCTCATCTTATGAACATGGGGGGCAAGCAGAGGAGGAGAGGGCGATACAGCAGCTACCGGTTTTGGTGGTGAGATCCACCTGCTCGTATCAGATGTCTTTTTGAGATCGCTGGCCATTGTACGAGGAGGAAGAAAAGGGAGTGGAGGTAAAGGCGGGTGCACGGGAGACGGTGACAACGTTTCAAGGGTACCCCGAGTCTCTTCCGATGCAACAATATGGGTGATTTGTGCATTGCTGACTGATGAAAATACGTTCAGTGGGGATGTTCCTTCTGTGTACTCTGTAGTGGCCTGGCTGAACTCCTCGACAGCTGGGGCGAAAGCATGCTGATGCAACGATGGCTTGTCTTTCGTCTCGGAAGGCAGATTTGCTAGCCTTGTTTCGTTTTGCACATTGGAGAATCGTTTGCGATGCTCTACTTCTTGAGGACCTGCGGGATCTTGACTGGCGTTTCCGGCTTGTACAAGTGCATAAGCTTCTGGTGATGACACTAGTGCCGGTTCAGTTGTCGAGGCCCATGAATCAGAAATAACTGATCTGGCATTCCGGTCGGCCACCAGAAAGCGACTGCTTTTCTTTAAACAGATTGTCAGCCAAGGTAGATCAATTTGAGTGGGCAAAGTGATAAATCTCCGAGGGAGACTGAGCACACGCCATGCCCCCCCTCTGCCCCAAGTAATAGAAAAAAAAATACATATATATGATGTAATTTAAAAAATCCATTAAAATATCAAAATTGATTGACAGAACGGGAATTGTCGAATGCTCACCACTGGTTTCCTCTGCCTAACGGCACCACTCTGGATGTCTGTTGTCGTTGCCTCACCTGCTGCGGATGGTGTTACTGCTGGCATTTCGTTAGGTTCCGGATATGGTTTGCCAATTTCTCTGGTCGGTATCTCCGTAGGCATGGGTGGCTTCATGGTATTGGGACTAGGATCACCCGATCGAAAAGGGTAAACAGCCTGAGATGCTGTGACCACTTTTGTGACATCCTCCTCCGCAACAACTTCCGGCTGGCAGTTCCGACAAAATGGGTGACCACTAGAAGGACAATAGAGTTGTGCTTTGACATCACCGCCACATATATGGCAATGGAATATCCTCCAAAATCTCCGGACTCTGGACATGTTGACACCTTCGGCCTGGAGTTTGTCGTGGTGCTCCTTGATTATCGATTCGTCTTCTCCGTCGACTTCGTCCCCTTTGTCCGATAACTAGCCGGGAGGCGGTGTTATGCCGTACTGGTCAAACAGCTGCCTCGCAGTCATACGATGACCGCTAATTGGCGACGGTTTAGCAACTGGGCCTGTGCGATTGCCCGCTGTTAGGGGAGATGAGACAGGCGCTTCTGAAATCCAGTGATAAGTAGGCGAGGGATTGCCTTCGTGATGTTTGGGCGTGTTGATTTTTGATCGCGGGTTAAACATTTCCGGCGAGTTGTATGTTCGGAACTGGGGCGACACTTTGGAGCTGTCCTTGGGACGGTTTTGCCAGGACTTGTCCCAAAATGCGTGATTCCTGAAGTCGATTGGGTTATCCCCCGGGTCGATTGTCCTCTTGTGCGTCGCTGGCTGTACGAAACATGCCTCGGCGGCTGACTTGCGCCCCCAGCCAAACTATATTCTCGCAGCTGCTGGTTAGACGTGAGTAAAGACAACAGGGTATGGCGGCTTAATTCTTCGAAAACGAAGTCAGGGTGCAGCAAATTCGAGCTTAAGGAGGAGGATTAGTTGCGTGCAAACATACATGTTCGCTTTCCCGATCGCGTTGCATAGTATGTATCAACCACTCCGGAAATCCTGTCTTGAGCCTATGAAAAGGGCTGAGTGGTAACGAGACAAGCTTTAGAATGTTGATATGCGAGCTGAGGGTAGCGCAGAGTAGGGATGAGCGTCTCCTATTGTGTCGCTTTCAGTTGCTGAGCGCGACAAGATAAATGCCAGGTCGGGGAAGAGGTTGATTAAGAATGTCCATCGTAGGTTACGTAGGTACCTAGGGAAAGGGTGTTGATATTCGGCGTAACGCGATTAATGAGCCAAGGTTGTGAAGTTGGAAGTTTGTTGACGGTGATCAGTCCGTAGGATGTAAGGGTATACTCACCCTTCGCCAAACGGAAGTTGCTCATGTAAGCGAAGCTCGTGCCTTCCTAAACATAAGTGAATGAAACGGCTGTTGTGTCAGATGCGGCAGTCACGATGGCCGATCACTAGTGGCCCTCAATAGGCAAGATCTGTGCACACTCAAAGCAGCATGTTCAGGTGTTGTCTCCTTAACTAAGATGGGAAATCATGGTGTATGCTACAATGGGGGTAGGATTAAGGATGGTGATACATCTATTTGAGAACAGCCTGGAGGGACTCGAGGACCTACGTCATATCGTTAGTAACCACAGATACGGTGGAATCGCGCCCAACTACACGCCTCTCCAACTTACCTCGAGCTCAACCTGGGCCTCAGCAATGTCTTGCTGGCTACCACCACCGCTGACAATCTTCTGGGCCTCGGCGATCTGGGCGCGGACGGCCTCGGCGCTGAAGTCCTCAAGGGCGTAACCCTCAACGGCGTTGATGCTGAGCTTAGAGCCGGGCTGGACAACGGCAAAACCACCGGAAACTAGAACATCTCGTGTAAGCCCAAAGGGTACTTTGATATGGCGACATTTGCTGTTGCTGCTGCTGCCGCTGCGGTTGCGGTTGCGGTTGTGGAGGACGATGACGTACGGAAGTACTGCTTGTTGCTGCCGCTCTCCTCGATGACCTCGACAAGGCCGGGCTTCAGCTGCTCGATGGAGGGAACGTGGTTGGCAAGGACACCCATCTCACCGGAGACGGCGGGGATGTTGACCTGGACGACATCCTGGGACTTGTAGATGGCCTATATGCGGCAATAACTCGTCAGCCATGGTGCTGGACCATGATGGCATACGCGGGCACATGTCAAGGTGGCATCGGATGGGCGTAGTCGAGCATCGATCGGACCGGGTCGCAGTCGTACCTGGTGAGGGAGGGAAAGGCTGAGCTTGATCTACATGACATGCGACAACAGTTAGAGCTATGATAACGATACGGAAGCTTGGGACTCTGAACATCAACATGCCTTGTCGGCGACGGCCTCAGCATACCCTCTGCGCTGGAGGGGGGCGCGGACGGCAGTGGGGCGCACCCGGAGGGCGGCACGAGCAATACGGAGGGAGTTCATGGTGATATGCGGTCTCAATTGAGGGCAGGCCGTCGTCGTTGTCGCGATCGGTCGTTCCGTATCGTCAAGCAGTTTTGCCAATGGCCCAATGCTAGTATGGAGTACCGACCTCAAATTCGCTTAGCCGGGAACCGGGGACAAGGAATAATGTTTGTGCGGGGCCCGTCTTCTGAGAGCTTCAGCAGCACCTCGAGCACTGCCCTGGAGGGAGCTTGTCTTCCAGCGAAGCACCAGGCAAAAGCTTGGCAAAAGAACCTTGACGTCGGGCACGGTCGGGATGGTTCTTGGCTCTGCGGAAACTCCCGTTTTTCGATGATGCAACAAAAAGGAGATGACACACCGACTTCACATTTCACGCGCCAAGAGATTATGCAGCTTACCTTTATCGTTCTATCGAAGCTTTCGTCCAAGCAAATCCACATTGTTCGACATACTACGCCCCATGCCACGTTTGACAGCAGCGGAGCACGAACCACTCATTCCGAACAGAGCGACGGCGAGAAACTGACGGACCGCTGCAGTCTGCAACTGAAGCTCCCCAACGGGGCGGATAAAGTGACCGTATGCTCTGATAATGTGACCGTATACTAACCAGAAGGGAACACCCAGAGGTACAGATCGCGAGTCTTATACGCGCAAGGTAACGACGAGCTACCAGTGCCCTCATAGAGCCGTTTCGCGCAGTATAATAAAAAAGAGTATTTCGGTAGGATCTTGGCTATCCCATTTCAAAACTGCATTGGAGTTGCAAATGTATGACTATGTTACTTATTGTCAAATTTTGGTGCGGCTCACATCTGCTGGAGATTCGGTGTGTGGTGTCCCCTTCTAGTTAGTATACGGTCACATTATCAGGGCATACGGTCACTTTATCCATCCCGCTCCCCAACCAAGGTCCCAATGGCTCCGTTTCGCGAATTTCAGTTGTATCGGCTGTCCTGCCTGGCCTTTGGCTCACCTCACTGGCCGCTAACATCATGAAAATTCACCCAACACCAGGGGCATCGCCGCGACGACACATCTCAAAACTGCCATGTCGTTTCTCACTTTCACAGCCAGTCGTCTTTGCATCTTCACATTGTTCTAGATTTCCATCCAGGATTTGCAGATCATGAAATAACCTCAAGCGCATATTGTATGCGGTGCGACCTGAAAAAGACCTCAGCACGTCAATACCGGCAAGTTAAACTTCATTCAAGTTTTGGGCTGATAATTCGTTTAGACGTCCCAGGTGTGTCAGCGCTTGAAACCTTGGGCTCATGACGGATGCTTTGGCTGCCCGGTCTCCGATTCCTGATGGCTTCATGACGCCTGTCACCGAACACCTCCAGCTTGCCCATGCTCCCATAGGTGTTGGATGGACCGAAACAAAGACCATCATGTCGCAAACCACAGCGCTGATTCCCATGGTGAGCGCACATTGGACCCCGTGGCCTATCTCTTAATCCCTCATTGGTATCCATTTACGCCATTGCAATCGCATGCCATCGGACAACGACCGAGATTCTCATGCAGCTATGTACATATTGCACCAAGGGTCCATAGGGCTAATGAGGAGGGGTCGGGTCCAACCACAGAGAGTCAAAATGACCAGGAATCACCAAATTCGACCCGGAATACGCAACACTACAAGGTCGATCTTCCCCCGACAAGACCGACCTTTCCTGCTTTTGGCATGGATGAATGCGAGTGTTATGCACAAGTCAGACCATGCGAGCCGCACGCTTAACGTATCCTCCCATGCCTTTGCCAACCACTTCATCGCCAAAAAGCTGCTTCTGCCAACTTTATCGCCTTGCGAGAAAGACCATCACAGCCAAGCGCGCAAAAGGGCCGGTTTGTCTCGCGGCCGCAATATCAAAATCTTTTCAATAGACCCGACAGCGAGGCGTCACCAGATGGGTAGCGTATGGTGTAGTTCAACAAATGGGCCTTTCAAGTTGGTTGCTGACTATAACAGCTCTGCCAAGAAGCGCTTGCTTCTCGCGCCTCAAGTGAAATTCGCTACCCTAGGATCGACACCTGATTCGGTTGCCTCCGAGTAACGAAGCAACATGAGGTCACAAAAGACAACTGGAAATGTGGGTTCAATGTGATCACGGACCGAAGTGAAATGGATAGGGTCCTTCGGAAGTCTCCTTCTGATATCGGGGGTCTCTGGCTCTTTCGAGATACTGACGCTTTCACACTTCGTTGGACAGGAGCAGTCGTTTCTCTGACATCCAACGCCATCCAACCGGTGCGGTAACACAAGATCCAGTTTTTTGCTTCACCGCCCTAAAATGTCGGAACGCGCTCTTATCGAAGGAGTTAGATTTGGCCAGCCCTTCAAAGCGCCTGCCGAGCGCATGGCACACTTCTGGAAATTCGCTGCTTGCTCATCAAACAAACGTAAGCCATCTGATCAGCGGTGGTCGGCGAAACAGGATTGGCAGCTTAGCCTGTCCTCAACATGGCGGGTTCGGAAGAGGCTGAGGAACACTTATCGCGCAACCTGATCGTCTGGTCCTGTCTGATCGGGCCGTCTGATCTCCCTTCGAATTTCCAAATCTGTCTTCATCATCCAAAATCTCCGGCCATGCGATGTATTCAAAATGCGGGGTCAGGTCCCATACCGGGTGTCTCGTTTCATTCTCCCGTCAAGCGAGCGTGGGGTGCCTTTTCCATCAAAGCACAACAACTGACACCATTCCTAACGTTATTCGCAGTGCTGACTGATTGGCCGCGTTGAGCTTCGGGATGACTGGTGCCCGCAATGGTTTGCGTTGTGCACCGACGCATCCATCCTTTCGCTTCAGCACAAGCAATTGGACGAATATGAACCACAACAGCAACAACACCTTCGGGATGTGGCTGTCACAGTCAGAGTCAGTCCCACGCAGACTAGCGTTGAGCAGCGGCCGGCGGCTTAGTCGTTCTTGGTATACGCGCAGCACGTAGTGGGGCGGAGAGTCACATCGCCAGTGTCCACCCCCAAAGTCAAGTGTAACGTTCATTAAACAAACGTCAATGTGTGACGGGGTCAGCCTCCACATCCAGAGCTCCTCCCAGCCAGAGGAGCCGTGGCGTGGACAAGCGAGAAGGAAGCGTACCAAAAGAGCAGTGGGTTACAACTTTCTCAAAGACGCCGCTACGGTCGCTGAACCCGAATCTGATGATGACAAGTTCCACGATCAAAGTGGACATCAGAATGGGCATCAGTTCCCTTTTGTCCGTTGGTATCCTCTTCCGTGATCCTCCCAACGCTCCTCATCGCACACTACGGCCGCGGTTGCCTATCGTGCCTCTAGTACACTATGTATAGGGGTCCACAAGAGTTTGAGCTTACATGGAGTGTACTCTGTTCTGTCGACATATGAGATGGGGTAAGATTGGTGCTTATGGGCCGAATGTAGGAAAAGCCACCAACGATAGGCTCGCTAGTGAGGCTAAAGCTGAAGATGCGGAATGTTCATGATGTTGCATGTCAGCCATACCCTCAACCCCCCCCCCCCCCTTCTGCTTTCGACGGACAGCCGCATAGGGGAATTCTTTCCGGGATGGGATGACAGACACCGACATCTCTGAATTCTAAGCTTGTGGTTCACGAAGCCCTACCCATTCCATCTATATCAGGCAAAGGATGAGCTGCAAGCCTTCTGCAGGTGACTGTCTTGTCGGCAATCCGCCTACTATGTACGTGTACGACACCCGGAAACGAGGTATCGGTAGTGAGTTGGCCTGTTACTTTTTTCTTCTTTTTTTTTCTGTTTATTTGGCGTACGGTAGGTGGGACCCTAACGCGAATCATTTGACACTCATCCTTACCTCACACGAAAATGTTCTTGGGGTATACACTAGTACCTTCCAGCTACCAGCATCAAGCTTCCGAAGCATTTTGCCCCCCCACCCCCCCTTCAAAAGAGGATGGAGATGCGGAAAAAAAAAATCGAACACCTCGCTGCAAGGTCTACGGCGAAGCTGGCGAGTGAAGGGAGTCCCTGTAGAGAGATTTTACTGCACTATGTACAACAGTAGAGTAGTCTCCTGCTCGTGCCGAGGTCCCTACAGTATTACAAAAACAAACGTAAAGGGGGGTCCTTAGATTCAACTGTGCAAAACCTGCTGATGGCGAAGGACTGACATTTCGTCACTACAATCCAAGGCTGACGCCGCGCATAACGCGGGTGTAAAGATCGAGCTTATGTCCGGATGCCCAACAGCCGCGCATCAGTATAGCATGAAGTGCTGTCAGGAGATTTATAACCACGCGCACAATCCAGGACACAAGAAACTTGAATCGTCGAAGAATGACGAAGTCGATCACTAGTTCCCAAGCCCGGTATAGGGCGTGCACGAACTCTCTCGCAAGAAACATGGGATGGTTGGCAGTGCTACGGTAGCTGTGGATAGCCTGTCTTTTACTCGCCTACAGTACTGTACCATTGCCTGCTCGCTGCAGTTGCGGTGCCCGGAGGGAGGTCAGAAATTGGCGTGGACATGATTGGATGCATTCCTGTCTGCCGCATTTCGTTCTCAAACTGAAGGGTTCAGAGTTTACCCGCCGTTGTTGAGCTCGACACCGGACAGCATCCCCTACCAGCTTCCGTTGTATTTGAAGTCCTCCGTTGTCCACCTTCTGAACAGGGCTCCTGAACAGCGAAACTCAGACTACGGTCGTTGCCTGCCTTCTTTACCGTCTTCTCAATAGGTGGAACAAATGTCCCGAGTCGTGGTTCTCTTGGCCATGCTTGGCTCATGGAATCACAGCTGATCTTTGGCTGTTATCACACAACGGTGGAAGTGCCATTGTGAGTGTGTGTGCCAGTTACAGGTGCCACAAGGACGAAGCGGCTCCATGATGGAGCCCAGCCGGTTCAGAGAAGAGGGACCCGATCCGACCTCCTCCGGTTAAGTCGGAGACCCCCCCCTGCCCCTTGACCCCCTGCGCCCCTGGATACCCTGATATTCTGAACTTCTTTCGGCCTTCTCCTGGGTCTTTGGCCCGTGAACGGCAAGAACGGTATCCCGGCGATACGTACCAGTGTGAGTCCCACTCTCATTGAGAAACTAACTCCAGAAAGACAAGTGCTCCAATCCGAAGTTCCAGCAGGCTCCGTTTCAGCTCCATTCATCCACTGGAACCAATGGGAAAAAAGATTCAATCAACGAGATCAGAATCTGCCAACAAAGCGTCTCCCACGCAGCGGGCCATGTCCCATCAACAATTGCGCGCTGGATGATGGCCAAGAGAGCTGATCTTTTGTTCCCGACCTCTTCTTCAGTGGATATCACAGAGATAGACAAAGGAGACCCCCCTCCGGTACACCTGCTGTCCTGATGAAAGCGAGTTCAAACGGCAGTGACAGCAAGAAGACAAAGCCAAGCACAAAACGTGGGAGGCTTGGCAAAGGAGCTTCAGTTTGGCAACGAAAGCTTTGCAAAGGTGCCAAGAGTCCAAGACACCCAAGACAAAGCCGTTACACCCGTGTCTGCGCGTGTGTGCGAGTGTCCGCCGCCGCCGCCTTCCCGCCGCCGCGTTCGCCGGGCTTCCCTTTGGTGTAACGGGGACGACCCCTACCTTCTTTTGCGATGGATGATCATTCTCACCCTTTGTGTTTTACATATTTCTTTGTGTGATGGTCAGCTGTGACTGACTGCCATCATGCGCTGGTCCGTTGCAACGTGTGGACGAGAAGATGGTGTGGACTTAGCCCCAGCTGACTGGATCAGAGCACATGAGCGACACTGAGCGACAGAAGCAAAATGTCAGAATGTGGGATGATAGGTAGGGGCGAGTCTCTACTTCACGTGTGGTGGTCGGTAGGTGTGCGTGTAGTTGACAGATATTGGCCGGTTTCTTATAGCTGCCTCATGTATGCGTTGCCATACCAGGCACACGAACACCCAACAAGGCCATCACAAGCTTACGCCTCCCGCCTTTTGCCCGGTTGAATACACACAAACACCGGCAAGCGAGAAGGTACTGTAGCCGATCTCGACCGCGCGGTGCGGCGGTACTCATAATTCACACCGTTTACTGCGGAGAAAGAGCCATTTTGGCCACAGAAGCGTTGAGAAAGACACAAAAAAAAAAAAAAGCGTCGTGTTGATGCCCTGACACCCAGTTTGGACATCATTGGTGTAGTTGCAGCTTGGAGGCGTATAAGGAACCTCAAAGAGCCCGGACACATGAGGCTCTCACTCGTCTTTCATCTCTCTCCCGTGCGCATTCAACTCGAGGGAACCACGGCCAGGGCTTTCAGAGAACCTCCGTGTAAGCTACCGAACCGGCGACACACCCACGCAGAACCACGGCAAAAATTCAGATCAATCTTGCTTTGAAGGGAGCTGGAGGGTCGCACACACTCAAACTCGGACACTCGCACACATACCCCAAAAACGAAAACTTTTTCATTTTGTTTTCGATCTTGCTCTGCTCCAATCCTTCCACCCGGGATCTCGAGTCTTGGGACTCGGTACCCGGACCAAGAACGGAAGGAGAAAGGTCTGGGTTTGGGGACCCCATTTTCTTTCTCGCCATTGCGCATCCCTAGCCGGCGGCCTGCCCCTGTTCAGTCCAACATTCAATTTTTCTTTTCGTGCTCGGCCCGTATTTCGTGAGCTCGGGTCTGGGTACGCTCAGCACTAGCAGCAAAAAAGGCTGTGGGCTTTCTGTGTGCGCCTCAATCCATGCGATCCAAGACCCACTCGACGTCCACTGCATTGCCCTTTTGCAGTGCAAATTCATGAGCAATTGGAGAGCAATCGCTCAGCATCATTTGGCAGCCACGCCGCCGCGCCCCACTGCCATCTCACGGACTACCAGAAATTGAGTTAGCGTGGTTGGTCCTCCTCCTCTTCCTGGCCCTTTCCGGCTTCCCTCTCGCAAAGTCTCTTTCGGTTGCAGAACCCTGGGGTCCGTAGAGGTACCTATGTACTGGTGTGCTGATGCTGAGGTGTGTAGTTACCTACGCAGCGCTGGCTTCTTTCGTGGACATCATCCCTCTGAAGAGGTACGCACCTTCAATTTCTGTCGCTTTGATCCCCTTACCACGCCTGCCTTTCCCGATCGTTCGTTCGCCCGCCTTCCCCGTTCCTTTTCGGAGCTGGTCACCCTTGTCCTGCCCGTGGTGCCCTAGTTCTAGTTGCTCGGTCCTTGTTGACCCTCTGCCGTGGATTCCACCAGCAGCATCGCGCCAGTTGCGTGTGCGCGCATCCACATCCCAACGACATCCATTTCGCGAGAGGCGGTTGACCTATTATCGGAGGCAGGGAAGGTACGGTAGTACTACATGAATCCACGATACGTACCTGTGGAGACCTGCACACCTTGCAAAAGAGCCGGGAAGGCTCCATCCATTTGGAGCAAGCCCGCTCTTGGTGTGGTACCCTATCCATCGTAACCAGTGGCATCCGTGCACGGTGGTGCACCCCCCTCCCCCACCCCCAAAATCGCAAGTCGCACCCCCATCCGCACTCCATAGCAGGCACCTGCTGGACCGTGACAGGCTCTTGCATTTATTCGATATTTCCACGATCCCTCCGTTTCGGTGCCTTCTGTTTGTTGGTCCTCGCATCCTGATATTTTTGCCTTTTCCCGCCCACCGGCCAGCTGATCGCCTTTGCGCTTTCTCTGTTTCTTTTTCTTTCTTTCACGCCTTGCCTTCCCTCCCCGACATCTGCCGAGGACCCTTTCCTTCCATCCCGTCACTGACAAGAACCTGGCAACTCTTCTAGAAGACGTTACCTTATTCTTGTTTCCCCATTCTTCGCCACGGTTCCGGCGGCTACCTCTTGGGCAACTTAGACGTCATCCACAACAACTCAGACGCAGCCTACCACTTACCCCCCCCAAAAAGTAGCCAAGCTACGTACATAGTGTACTTGCTCTTGCGTTGGCTCCGTCTCATTGCCGGCCGCAACGCAGCACGTTGATAATCAGGGGCCTTGCCTTGATACAACCACACAACCACTCAACACACACCAATCTTCAACCTGCATCCTTCCATAGATCGTTCATCATGCCTTTGCAGTCATAGCCAACCGGTCCCTAGGGGCCCAACCTAATCCGTTGCTTACGCGGAGCTTTAGGAAGACTTGACCGCAAGTCCTCAACTATCTACTGACGACCATCTTCCCGACCTCACTTACACCCCGCGAAGTCGGGAAGACCCATCCATTGACGATTGGCCATTCCCCTTCGCAGCGCTCTCCAGCACGATAACCACCACACCTCACCGTCAACACTCTTGCAAACACCTTTGAACCTACTCAACCCGCCTATCAAATACTTTGTACCGGTACCAGCACCAGTACTCGTACTCGCCTACCAAAATGGAGAACCGACGCATGTCGCGCGAACTCGCGGCATCACATGTCCTTGCGTGGACAACGTCCCAGTCCGTCATGGTGGAGCCGTCATTAGAGGAAGACTTGGAGACCGATGCGGATGAACCCCCGGATTCGACATTGCTACCCATGCCACCACACTTTGAGCGCGCTCCCGTTCGCAGGGGCAGCCCACACCAAGAGTCCATGTTGACCAAGGCTCTTCATAACCCCTCCGACTCTGACCATGCCGAGTCTGATTATCAACCACGCCGACTGGGAAGGAGACGCTCCATCACCAGCACTTTCAGCCTGGCTTCGACTGCCGACTACACCTGCGATACCGGAATCACAACCCCTCCTCGTACTACTTCACCGAGCCCACGTCGCACCGGTATCACCTTCCGACTCTCGTCCAAAGTCACTGACACGAAGCCCAGCACTGTCATGGATGAAGGACTCCAGGTAGCCCCGTTGGCTGCTGCCACGCCGGCGCCAGAGAAGAAGCGATGCATCTCTTTCGCTTGCGCGGCCAAGCCCCCAGTCAACGATCAAACATTGACGCACGCCCCGCCCACGCCAGTCAAGGAGGAAGTAAAGACTCAGGAAGCGCTCAAGAAACCGACCATCAAGTTTGCTTGTGCTCCCCATCCACAGAGAGATCAGCCTTCGCCAACTCAGCCTATCCGTCCCGCTACACCGCTCCCAACATCGGTTACCTCGCCACTCAAGGAATTGTTTGAAATGAGCCCCAAAAATCTGTCTCGCAGAAGCTCTGTGGCTACTATTTCAAAGAAGTATCTTACTGCCCAGCTCGGAGATTTGCAGAGCGAGCGTGCCCGTTTCCACGAGTTCGCGAGCGATGAGCCTCAGGAAGAAGACTGGATACGCGAGGATTTGACTTCCAAGCCTAAGCTTACCATCGACGACACGCTCAAGAAGGAGCTCGCTATTCGCAAGATCGGAAAGGAAGCTGAGGAAGAGGCCGAGCTTGAGGAAGCAATGCAGTCGGGCGAAGCGCTCGAGAATGATGAGGAGGAGGCGGGCGGCGATGAGGACGAGGAAGACGATAATGAGGACGAAGATGAGGACAGCATGGACGACGATGAGGACGACAACGAAGACGAGGACGAAGACGAAGATCTCAGCGATGGTCACTCCGTCTCTGTCTGGGATGATGCGTCTGACGGTTACAAGACCGACTCCGAGATTGGGTTCGGCGAGTCCGACGATGAGGATGACGATGACCTGGTTCTTTGGACTACTGGTGGTCTTGCCGATCTTTCATTGTCTGGTGCTACCCCTGTTTTTCGTCGGGGTTCCGTTGACGAGTCCTCTGACTCATCTGCTGGCTCAGACGGCAACAACGTTGCTCGCCGTGCTCTAAAGAGGCGCGACACGATTAGGACTCGTGACTTCCGCCCCGCTACCCCTGATTTGCCTGACAGCACAGATTTCGTTTGCGGTACCTTGGATGAGGATCGTCCCTTGGAGGCGGCTTACTTGGAGCGCATGGCTGCCCGCAAGCAGAACAAGCTCGTCTTCATTCCTCAAGACATTGATCCCAGCTTTCCCACCTCGGAGCCTGAGGATGAGGGGGAGGAGTTGTATAACAAAAGCGCTCACGGAAATGACGATAGCGAAGACGATATGTGGCAGTTGGAAGATTTACACTCGGAGCGTGGCCGCATTGGTCGTGCAAAGAAGGCTCAGAACTCGCCTAGGCGATGCCGCTCACCTCCGCCCAAGAGGCGTCTTTCTCTCTGCCCCAAGAAGTCTCGCGGCCGTAATGATCGCAACCTCTTCGACCGCTCTTCTCCCCGCAGGATGAGATCACCTCCGCCTCCTGTTTTGTCCGCAAAGTCTCCCCGTGCTTCTCCTGCTATGGGAGCCGACGGCGTTGCGTTCAAGTCACTCGCATTCAGACCGGGCCTGACATTCACCAAGTCACTGCCCAAGGGACCTGTCATGTTCCCTCACATCAACAAGCAGCAGCCTCGCAGATCCCGTGCTGGCACCATCACCCAAGACACTCACGTTCGGGGTGCCATTGACATTGTCAAGGGTTTGGAGGAGAAGCGCCAGAGGCGCAAAGAAAAGTATTATCAAAAGTATTGCACCCGGGCCCGCAAGGAGAAGGCTCAGCCCAAGAGACCTCCTCCAGGACAAGGTGCTGAGCGCATGCGTGAAGTTGGTCTAATAATGGCTGGCAAGATCGGCCAGGGCAACTATGTTCTTTCTTATTAAAACTCGCGGCAGGGGGCCGTTTATCAGCATTCACATGGCGAATTATACCCTGGGTTACAACGGCAACTGGAGAGGCATTTTTTTGATGTTTACCACGTTTGGCGGCGGCGGCTTTCTCTCGTCCGGCATTCGGTATCTACACTTTTATCCCCCGGCTCATTGATTACACCTTTTGTACCACCCGTTTCATTATAATTGCATACTCGAAGTTGCAAGCGAGCATCGGGTTGGCTTCCTGTGGGCTGTGCCTGGGCGGACATGTTCTGTATGTTCTTGTTCTTTTCTTCTTAACGTTTTTGTACATATTCTTTTTTTTTTCTCTGCCTGCGCTTGCTCTGCTTTTTCCACTTTCTACGTGGCACGCTGCGGTTTTGAGAGCGCTCGTGTTCACAATCGGACTCTCTGTAGAGGCGGAGATACGGATTTGATGGCCGGGGGTAGATATACCCTGCGGAACCTGTCTTGGAGTTTGGGACCTCTGGAGACGACGGGAGGATGGGAATGGGACGGGACGGATGGCAACGGATTGGCAATAATCCGTATCAGCGATTGTGAGCTGATATCTTGGTTGGGACATATGCAACCAAGTGCTGAGGCTGGGAAGGAAACTCGTCTATACATAACTATAGATCCTCCTACATACCTCAAACAAAGAAGTAAAATTTTCAAAACAAGCCAATGTGTTCCTTTGCTTAATTCAGTGAACCTATTTCTTCGATGAACATCTGGGATTACAGGTGAGAACAGTGACGGCGTCTTGACGGGAGATTTGTCGGATTGAGCGGGTGGCATCTGGAACCCTCCTTCTCCTGAATCTTGCATCAATGCCACCTGCATGGCTTCTTGATGCGGTTGCTACGGTCGCTTTGGCAGCTGCAGGCGGCCGTGCATGTGTGATAGTGTACTTTTTTCCCGCTGTTTTCTTTTATTTTCTTCCTTTCTTTTGGGCGGTGACGGGCCTTTGGGCGGTTGTGCCGGGGATTTTGCCCCTGAACAGGCCGTCTTGCTCCCCCCCCCCTTGACTGCCCCATGCTCGCTCAGTGCACCAGGCAAAAAGCGGGAGGAAAAAAGACAGGTCACGTGTGGATGCCTGAGTTACCAGGCCAACAATCACAAGACTATCGCAGGGGCCAGTCCAGCGCTGTCCTCGCCTGCCGTATCGTTCATGCCAGCAGTGCACTTCTGGGCTCGCGTGGGTCATTGAACCTTCTATGGACATCTTTCCTTGTAGCGTGTGCCCGACCGCCTTCAATCCGCCGCCGCCCCGTACACTTTTGTCATAGCTTCCAGCTGCTTTCGCATCGCAACATCCACGACGCCAGCAACGAAGCCTCATCAACACCCTCGCTACGATTTCGCCGGTCCCTCTTTGTGTGCCTAACACTTTACCGGCGCTTTGCACGACTACCTGTTCTTCTAGAACTCCTCGACTTTCCCGTATCATCGACAAAAGAGGTGTCCTCTAGATAATCATTTCGTCACCATGTGGTTGTGGTCTTGGTGTATGTTGTCGCATCCCTATCCCATCCATCGCCCACGTTACCTATCCAAACTTCCCGTCCTCCCTTCCTTCATCACTGTCGTGAACCATGGATATGGAAATGCATACCATGAACATGCGGACTACTGGGGATTTGGGAGGAGGTGTTCATCATGATATGGGACGAACCCGTCTGGCAACTTGCAAAGCTGACACGATGGCGCCACCAACAAACAGTCTACGATATCCTTTCCAACCTCGGCCTGCTTAACAAGCATGGCAAGCTGCTCTTTCTGGGTCTCGACAATGCCGGAAAGACCACTCTTCTACACATGCTGAAGAATGACCGCGTTGCCATTCTCCAACCTACTCTCCATCCGAGTCAGTTTAACCACCTGCAGCTGCCACCTACCACTGTTTCCCCGTCAACGCCGGGACCTTGATACCCGAGCACCTTCCGCCTTCTCCCCCTTCGCCTCGACTGTTCCCGTCCCTACTCCCGTTTCTGGCTCCATACACCGAATCGGATATGCGCGCACATGTGAGGGCGAGATGTTTAGAGAATAATTATGGCTGACATGATTTGTTGTAGCTTCGGAGGAGCTTTCCGTCGGCAACGTCAAGTTCACCACTTTCGATCTTGGCGGCCATCAACAGGGTGAGTGGATAATCTTCTCCTATTTAGGGCTTATGTCAAATCCTCTCGGGACAGTGACAAGCCGCTCTACTGCTGCGGTCTCGACTAATGAATAACGTATCTACAGCCCGTCGTCTTTGGAAGGATTACTTCCCCGAAGTAAACGGTATCGTTTTCCTCGTGGACGCCAAGGACCACGAGCGTCTCCCCGAGGCCAAGGCCGAGATCGACGCGCTCCTCTCGATGGAGGAGTTGGCCAAGGTTCCCTTCGTTGTGCTGGGCAACAAGATTGACCACCCCGAGGCCGTCTCTGAGGACGAGCTCAGGCAGAGACTCGGGCTCTGGCAAACGACTGGCAAGGGCAGGGTTCCTCTCGAGGGCATCCGCCCCATCGAGGTGTTTATGTGCTCTGTGGTTATGAGACAGGGATACGGAGAGGCTATCAGGTGGTTGTCCCAGTACGTTTAAGGGGTCTGATGAAATGAGGAGCAGCACAGGATGGTTGTCAGGTAATAACATTTTGTAATATGATACGATGATGACAATGAAGGAACTGGAGGGTCTCGCGATATCAAAAATTGACGGCCGCATTTTCACAATGAACAGATACGTACGAGGCTTATCAAACACAAATGGGACGTTGGAGGGACTAGTGTACGTTTGACGACTGCCGTTATCTGGCTCTAACGGTATACAGGTTATCTTTTGCTCTCCGTCAGATTCCGGTATAGCTTGTTCTATTCCCTTAGTAACACGGTGTCTAGGTAACTAGCCCGGCCCGAGTTTGAGCGGTCATTCTAGCAATCTGTGGAATTATTGTACGGATGAACGTGAACATCTCCAACAAAGCCTAGTCTAGTTCTCGAATGACAAGGATTCGTTCCGGAGTGATTCCCCAGTAAAAACACGTGTATGCCATCATTTGTTGGGCTGGAACGCATGTGCAGAAGAGACACTAGGTACACTACGTAGCCCGGCAAGAGCCCCGTCCTCGGCTTCGCCCGCCCACTAAACATGTACATAGTACACTATTCCGGGCGAGGGTCGACCGACGTCATCCAACAATCTGCCACCCGACCCGCGCAACTCCAACGCTTCCGGCACTAAGACTGACATCAAGAACGATCAAGCACCGACCATTGCGCCAGCAACCAGCGTTGTATCCCGATCACCTTGAACAATTATTCCCTTTGTAACCCCCTTATCGTCAAATCCCTCTTTCAGTCCGTGTCACCTCGCTGTCCAGCCATTCCCTGTGGCTTGTTTCAGGGTGGATCAGTCAGAAGATCAAAAAGCCAGAAGGCTTCGGTCATCATCAGCTACATATACAGGACCAAGACGCCGAAGATTCCACTTCGCATGCTTCCCTGGCCATCAGGCGATATCATTTAGTGACGACGTCGACGATCCTTAAAGCATCTGCCAAGCGTTTATTGTGCTTGGATTCCTGTCCCTTTTTCCCTACAGTTCGCAATCTCGTTTGCGACTTGCTGTTTTTGATTACGCAACAACTCGAACAGAACGAAAAGCCTCCTGTCTTAGTATCGCAACTGCCTGGGCTTGTCCGAGCTACCTACATCTATCTGTTCCAGCTACTTGAGCCATTATACCTGAAATATCGCGGAAAGAAAAGCATCACCTCCCGTGTCATGGCCGACGACACAGACAACCCACCAAACATCCAAATACCAGCAAAGTCGTATGGCTTCCCGCCAGAAGCCTTTGACCTTAGACGGCTTCCCGACTATGATACCAATTTTCTACCCGCTCACGACCTTGAAGCTTTTATCCAAGCCCTCGCGGCGCCCGACTTCGTCCAATCACCAGACGATGCATCATCTATGCGTCTCAACAGCCCAGGTCTTCACAGCCCCAGCAGTCTAGACATTACCAAGGATGACTACGATCATTCCGAAGCGCGCGCAGCCCTTGCCTCCGTTGTCGATGTAGCTGCTCCTGGAGGAGGTAATAACCACCATCGCCGCACCAGCACGGGTACCTTCTTCAGCGCGCACAACGATTGGGCGCCGGTGAGTGAAAAGGTGATCAAAACCGATAGAGACGAGAAGCGCAACAAGCGCGGCAAGGATCGCAAAAACAAGAAGCCGCGCAAGGGCGTGGCGCCCCTGCGCACTCTGGTCGGGACCCGGTCAAAGGACGAGACCCGAGAGGGCTACCTGTATAGCCTGCTAAAGTGGCCCTTCTTACTATTTGTTAGTTTTTGGATCGTTGGACTGGGCATGGCCTACCTCGCCACCCGCTTTTACATCTACTTCTACGAGCAGTTCGTCGCATGGCGTGGGAGGCGGGAGCAGCTGCGGCGGGCGATGCGAGCGACGGGTAACTACAAGGACTGGGTGGCGGCGGCGCGGAACATGGACGACTTCTTTGGGAACCAGCGGTGGAAGGAGGAGAACGATTTTGCCTACTACGACAGCAAGACTGTGAGGAGGGTGTGGGATCAAATGAGGAGGTGCAGGGAAAAGGCGGAGGAGGTTGAGAGGGAGCTGGAGAGCGAAAGCCAGAACAGCGATAGTGGCGTTGCATCTGGCGAAGAGACCAGCAACACCAAGGCTGGCGGCGGCAACAATGGCAATGACAAGAAAACGCAGCCGGTAGAGGATCTGAAGGCGCTCATTGAGGCCTGTGTCAAGAATAACTTTGTGGGTATCGAGAACCCGCGGCTATATAGTCAGACGTACTATGGGACCAAGAACCTGGTGCAGAACTACGTTGATGAAGGTGAGCTGAGACACTCCGCAATAGAGATTGCGCCCGGGCATCTGCTTACTTGAGGAACAAACAGTGGAACGAAGCATCAAGTTCTTGATCGACACTAAGCAGTTGACCAAGGAGCAGAAAAGGGTCATGTTCAAGGGTATCTGCGCCAACTACGGCCGAACAGCTCTTTGCCTCTCCGGCGGCGCAACGTTTGCCTACTATCACTTCGGTGTCGTCAAGGCCCTGCTCGAAGTGGACTATCTCCCCGACATCATCACCGGAACCAGCGGCGGCGCCCTCGTGGCTGCCCTCGTAGCAACCCGCACCAACGACGAACTCAAGGAACTCCTCAACCCAGCCCTGGCCCACAAAATCACCGCCTGCCGCGAGCCCTTTACCGTCTGGTTCTGGCGCTGGTGGAAGACGGGCGCGCGCTTCGACTCGGTCGATTGGGCCAAGCAATGTGCCTGGTGGTGTCACGGCAGCCTGACCTTTCGCGAAGCCTACGAGCGCACCGGTCGCATCCTCAACGTCTCGTGCGTGCCTTCCGACCCTCACTCCCCCACCATCCTCTGCAACTACCTCACCTCGCCGGACTGCGTCATCTGGTCGGCCGTCCTCGCCTCCGCCGCCGTCCCGGGTATTCTCAACCCGGTAGTCCTAATGATGAAAAACCGGGACGGATCCCTCGAACCCTACTCCTTTGGACACAAATGGAAGGACGGCAGCCTGCGGACCGACATCCCCATCAAGTCTTTGAACCTACACTTCAACGTCAACTTCTCCATCGTCTCGCAGGTGAACCCGCACATCAACCTCTTCTTCTTCTCCTCGCGCGGATCCGTCGGCCAGCCCGTAACCCACCGCAAAGGCCGCGGCTGGCGCGGCGGCTACCTCGGCTCCGCTACCGAGCAGTACATCAAGCTCGACCTGACCAAGTGGCTGCGCGTGCTACGCCAGTTGGAACTCCTCCCGCGCCCGCTGGGTCAGGACTGGAGCCAGCTGTGGCTGCAGACGTTCGGTGGAACAGTGACTATCTGGCCCAAGAGCATCTTCAGCGACTTTTTGAAGATCCTCAGCGATCCGGACCCGCCGAGGTTGGCGAGAATGATCCACGAGGGCCAGCAGAGCGCGTTCCCCAAGGTCAAGTTTATTGCAAACAGACTCAAAATTGAAAGGCTGGTGGAGCGCGGAAGGAGGGAGACGAGGGATCGGAGGAACGCCGCGAACGCCTTTACTGCTACGGGCAATGATGAGGGGAGTTATGCTTCTAGTAGCATTGTTGATGCGATGGGTGGTAAACATCCTCTTGCGCCGAGCAGCTCGGGTGGGGCGGGTGATAGGAGGGGAAGCATTGAGAGTATCTTGAGTGAGGATGATTTGAGGAGTTTGTTGATCAAGGGGCGGGAAGGGGTGCATACGAGTGGGGGAAGCAGTACGGGTACGGAGGATGAGTTGACCATGACGGAGTTGGAGGGGGAGGACGACGGAGGAACGAGTAGGGTGAGTGAGGGGGGAAGTAGAAATAGGTACTTTGAGGGAGCTCTGGAGGAGGAGGATGGGGCGTTGGAGGTGGCTGCTTCTGATCATTCGAGAACTTAACCTAGTAGGTGGTCATTGACCTGATACTCTGGTGGAGTTGAACTGGAAGTGAAAGTGGTTTAGAGTTGTAAACAGCCGGGAATGCATTAGAGCGAGTCTTGTATCATTACTGCACATACTCATATCAACATATCTTAGACAGAACGCATATTACGGCAGAAGCATTGCATCAAATCACGATTCTTGACAAATGATACGTTGTTATTGCCTGCGTCTTCATGCCAATTTATTCCTATAATACCAGTAATCATAATCATCCACCAAACCCACCCGATGAACAACCATACAAGACTGTCAACAGACTGTCTCATCAACTCTGCACTCGCGGCCACCAGCTCACTCGCCCATATTCGGCGCCTCACTAGTACCACCATCGAACACCTCACTCGCTCATAAACTCCGCTCCGACATGATCGTAGGCAACACCGTGTTTCGACCATCCTCGCGCCGCTCAGCTCTCGAGCCAGGCCTACTGAAGATGGTAGAAACAAAGCTTTTCCGTTTCTTCGGCTGTTGATGCTGCTGTTGAGGATCTGGGTTGTTAGCTTTGGCAAGTCTACTAGTAGTAGGAGCCGAAGGATAGCCAAAGTTCCCCTGCGTCTCTGTCGTTGGTAAATTCCCCCCACTTCGTTGTGGTGAGCAGTGGGAGCTCAATCGTTCGGGAACGGGGAGAAGAGAATCCTCTGCGCTGGTTGGTGGTGTGAGTTGTCCATGTCGTTGACGATGGCTGTCGTGGCTACGGGTTTGAGCTTTGGTTTGAGTTTGTTGGGTACGACAGAGGTCTGCTGGCTCTGGTTCGGGGGCGGTGGTTGCTTGTCTGAAATTGGCTAGGGATTTCTGCTTCGTCTGTTAGCATTATGTTCTATATCCTTCGTCCGACTTTGAAGGGGTTGAATAGGTAAATACTACCTTCACATCAAGCTTCAACCTTCCCCTTGACTTCTTCGACAACAAAATACTCCCCCTCTCTTCAGCACCTGCTCCTGGTGTAATGGTTTTCGACAATGGCACTCCGTCGCTACCAGCGCTCCCGAAAACAATCCCTTTCTCAGCCATCTCCATCTCCCCACTCACCGTCATCCCGCCGTTCGCCAAACAATCCTCCGCCACAGGGATGAACTTCAACAGTCCCCTCGCCGGACTTACCCCGATCGCCTCCTCCATATGCTTCTGAATCAGCGCCGCATTCCGCTTATTCGTGGTCGACTGCAGATGGCTCGGTAAGGTCGAAACGGAAATCACATACGCCGGGTCAAATGTACCGCCGAATAACATGCAGGCGCCGTGGTGGAGGGTGACGACGATAGAGGACACTGGGCGCTTGTACCGGGAGGAGAGGTGATATGTAAGCTCCGTTATGAATGTGAACTCGTCGCTTATCTGGGTGGTGTCGGACGTAGGTGGATCAATCAGTCAGTCAACTAGGGAGAGAAGAAGGCGGGAAAAGAAGAAGTGTAAAGCACAACAGGGTCGATGCAGACACTGGGAAGACTTACAATCACATTCGTCTTAACCTCCGCCATAACCAGGGCATCACCGCGTATCCGCTCCTTGGCCGGACTAACCTCGTTAACAGAAAAAGCGCTCTCCCAAAAGTTGAGAGTACTCTTTTGCCTGTTGAGTACCGCCACTGATGTCTGCTTTGAGGATGAGCATGATGAACTCGACAGTTTCTGCTCTGAATGCTTGGGCCCAGTCGCGACGGTGACGTCTCCGGAAGGTGGTCGCTTGATGTCTCGCATGATCCGGTTAATATTCTGATCCTGGTCCTGGTTCTGGTTTGTGTTGATGTTGCCATTTTTATTGTCCCCGATAGGAGTGACTTTCGAGGGCCGTATTTTGACGGTATCGCAGTCCGAACTGGTGGAACCTGGTACCTGCTGGGCCTTGTGTTCGGAGAAGGACATCTTGTTTTTGCTTCTGTTGATGTCCTTTGAGGGGACTGGTGGCGGTGGGCTGTCGTTACTGGGGCCGGTGCTCGTCTGAGGCCGTTGGACGGCAGCCGTGGGACAAGTCGGTTGGTAGGCCATTGTTGAGGGAGGTGGTGAAGAATTGGGGGGATCTTAACAGTTCTCTCAAGTGGTGAACATGTAAGAGTGTTGTAGTGTTGTTGTAATCGATGTTGAAACACGAGCCCCGACTGGATAAAGTAAGTGATGGATAGGTGCACTTGCTCGTCAGAGGTCTGACTTGTGAATAGCTTCGTTCCTCCCCACTCTCTTTAGAGTTTGCATGTCCTTCCAAAGATTAGCCGTCTGCTGAGCCGTCGGGTCAAGCTAATCACTAAGCAATAGTGCAAATTGATAGCTGGTAAGATAATGAAACGATGGAAGATGCGTAGCAAAATTGGGACGGTGAAGAAAACGAGTTATCAGATATTGCCAACAAAGAGTATAATCCACGAGGGTGTGTGGCACCACCGCCACTCGAGAGATTAAGGGTGCAGAATGTAGGCAACGGAAGAGACAAACAAACAGGAGGGGAGGGGTAGGCGTAACCTCCCTTCTCGTTCTGCTCCTTCCCTATACGTTCCAATTCAGTTGGTTGTGTGGTCGAAGTGGAAGCTACCACCCGTTGTACTAGTTGGGTATCAACATGGGAAGGGTCCGATCGCCGGGAGAAACAAAAAGTGAGTTTACGTACAAGACAGGGCTTAGACTTGAACGTGAGACAACCTCGAGACATACGAGTGAGGTTGAAGGGAAGAACTGGAAGAAGGAAGTGAGAAAAGAAAGCGAGACAAGAAGGGGAGGATAACTTTCAAGGAAGGGACATTGGATTGAATCGATTGGAAAGATCTTTTTCTCCAAAGGACGGAGTGGTTGTGAGTGACCAGACCATATAACTTGCGCTTTTTGACATCCTCTCTCCATCCGTCCACACATAAAACCGATCTAATACACCGGTACCGTGACTGATGAAACCCATCCATCCATGTTTGTACTTCGCATCATAAAGGGCGTATTGAGAAACGAGAAAAAAAAAGAAAAGCAAGCAGAATTTACTGCAGGCAAGCCGGCAACCAAGCGCATGATCAGGTGTACCTACCTCGCCCCTCATCCGACTGGACAATGGTCGACGAACGGCTATGTAGGTATGGTGGGCGGTTGTCGTGCCGTGGGTCATCGATATCCGCAACAGTCATAAGTCAAGCAGTATCAGTCAATCAAGTTGTGCAGTTGTTCCCCAGGCCAGGAGCTGCGTTATTCTCAGTTAGATATAATATGGCCCACTCGGTGTCCAAAAAAAAAAAAAAAAAAAAAAAAAAAAAAAAAAAAAAGGCAAAACGGGTCACTGCATTCTGGCATCAATCAAACCAGGTTGAGATTGCAAGTAACTCCCGCAGGCCCCCTTTGCGCTGTGCAACAACCCGGTAGTAGCTGACAAGTTTACGGGGGATTCAACGGCTCAAACGGTCCAAATGCATCCCTTCCGAGCTTTTCTTGAGAGCTTGCCCCCAAGACAAGACAAGGCGCTTTATCACGAGTGTCAGTGCGTGTTTCTCTTTTCCCTCATCTCTTCCTCTCCTTCCAGTTTGAAGCGCGGCCGGTCAAGCGAGCCGCCCGAGAACCGAAACAGCACTGGGCAAGACAAAAAAATCAAAGATAAGACATGCAGTACGCACGAGGGACAGGACACACTACCTAGACCCATTAGACACATTACTGCAAGGGAGAAACGTGCAGTGCATTGATACAAATAGATTGAATCTTGCGGCCTTGCCCGACCGAGTCGGCTTATAAGAAGGATAAAGGGGTATGACACACAAGTAGCGGAGATGGGACGGTCAATATCGAGAAGCATATAAGGATAAGACAAGTTATGGGAACCCCCACGACGACGGGTAAGGAGGGTTGTGGAATATTGCGAGAACGTTGTGTGCGCCGAGGCGATAACCAGGCAATGGTTGTGACATGGCAGGTAGAATATGCTTTTCCTTTTCGCATCCGTAATCTTCATCATTAGGCCTGCAATCAGGACAACACAAACACAAAAATTGGTGATGAAAACAACTATACCAACTTACTCTGCCTATACTGAACAGTAAACCATCTCACCTTTTCCCTTCATTAATCCATGATCCCTAACGAACCAGTCCGCCAACCACAGCTCCCAATTCACCAAACAGGATATTCTTGAAAATCGTCTCCCCCATCCCCTCCCCCCAGTGGCCCGCCGCCTTCAACTTCTCCTTCCAAGCCTTTTTCTGCGTCTCGTGCAGCTCATCCCACTCCTTCGGTGTCGGCGCGGTGCTATCCACCTCGGCGTCATGTCCACTAACCTGGACGATTCCGTCTTTGGCTCCGACGTTTAAAACCAATTTCTTGGCCTGTCCATCCTGCACCTTGAGGTCTTTATCCGCCAGCAGCGAAGCCAAGAAGCCGTGCACGCCGTCAGGATTGAGTGATTCCGAGTTCGCGTAGTTGGCATTGCCAACCACACCCTGGCCGGCGCCGTAACGGGGATTTTGCTGCCAGCTGACAGGAGCGAACCTCCTGGCCCCGATCATGGGGCTGGAGTAGCCCTTGATTTCGAGGAAGCTTTGGACAAAGACACCAATGAAGAGAGTGATCAGGGCCGTGAAGAAGAGGAGACCCTTGGGTGAGGGGGCTTGACTCTTCAGGGCCAGGACGTAGCGGGCGGCACGGGGAGCGCCGCCGCGGCGGGTTTGGGCCGTCTTGTCGACGAACTTTTTGAGCGGGAGGGAGTGCACGATGCAGGAATTGCCGACGGAGCCGATGGAGGCCAGCTTGACGTACTCGGGACGGACGGATCCCTTCTTTGCGACGGCTTTTTCGTCCGAGTTAGAGTCGGCGGGCGGAACGACGTAGGAAAAGGCCACGCCGGAAATGGGACCGTTGTGAACGTTCTTGAAGGTAGTGACCTTGAAAAGATTGACAATGAGGTTGATGTCGGCAACCGACTGATGGTCTAGGGTGTAGATAGTGATCGAGCTGTCCTGACCAGTAACGGCGATGACGAACTGCGCGTCGCCCTGCTTGGCGGTTGGCGAGGCAGGACGAGAAAGATTGCGGACAGCCAGGCCGGTAGCACGTGTGACAGAACTTGGCAATTTCGCAGAAATGCATAGTCTTGCTTTGGGCTCCTCCACCTTTCTAGCCACGACCGTCTCGTCCGCGGTTCCCTTGGCGCCCTCATCGGTGGTGACCGTACCGTCCGCGCTACCGTTACCCTTCTTAGCTTCTTCCTCCTCCTTCTCTTTGAGCTTGTTGTGAATTTTGTCGTTCTTGGGCATGCGGAATCCGTGTAGAACCACGCCACCGCCCTTGGGAAGGTTGGCAACGGCGAGGAGGAAGTCCGGGGTCAGATAGCGCACCGATCGGAACGAGGGCCTAGCGTTTCCGGTGACGGCCGCTTCGTCTGGCATGGTGAAGACCAGCTTGGGCCCTTCCGAGATGCCCTTTCCAATGTTCATGGTGCGCATTTCGTACTCGTCGCAGTAAGCGAGCTGGTAGCTATCGTCACCAGTCTGGATGATATCAATGTCCACAGCCTCCTTCACCAGCTCAAGGTTACCCCTGAGCTTGGGAGTGGCAGCGCCCATGTTGGGAACATCGAAGAGAGCAATTTCTGGCTCTTTGGAGAACCCCGTGGCGACAGCACCGACCTGAGCGGACCCGGGGAAAGGCGCGGACAACCTCAGCACTCTCTGGTATGTGTCCTTCTCCGTTGTTGCGAACAGCGAAGTGCGCGAGAGCTCGGTGATCTTGGGCTTCTCAGACAAAGCTTTGGCTTTGGATGGCTGGTCCAAGCTGAAAACGCGGAAGTGTTCGTTTTTGCCCTTGGCGATGTCGTCGGCGCTCGAATTAACACCAGCGTACAGCAGGATCGAGTCCTTATTCCGGGGACCGACGGCGAGAGTTGCGACACTGTCCTCGTCGCGACTGAGTTCGATCTCGGATACAATATCGAGGGTGTCGGGGCGTGATGCGTCGATGGCAGTGATCTTGTTCCCTACACCATGGTTACCTGGCCCACCGCCACCGGCTACGATAAGCCGGTTCGCATCTTCAGGGTCGAACTCGAGGGAGTAAAGGGAATACGAGGTGCGCAGTTCCGCAGACGGGATCGGGACCATCGTATGTATATCGGCTGGGTGTTGAGATAGTGTCGAATTCGGTCGTGTGTTTCAAGTTGCGTTTGTACCCGTTGGTTGGGTGGGAATGGGGATTAAAATTATAGGTAACTAGGATTTATGTCGAGTTCAGTTCAGCTGAGGCGGACAAAAAGCGATGATGATGATTGTGTTGTCAAGGAGTAAGAAGACAACGTCAGAGTTACCTTGATTCAATTGGTTGCATGCCTGTGATGCGGTCTAGTCTAATAGGCTAAACAAAATATGCTCATCACCCTGGGGATCTCATGTGGGGCCAGCTTAGTGGACGTCTTAATGCTACAGATGGCATATTCGCAGCGCATTTAGCACACTGAAAGATGCGCCTGCGACGTCATATGTCTTCGTTGGAATTGCTAGATCATTGGGTGCCGCCAGGAAAGAAGACCTCGAAAGTGGAAAGGTTAGAGCTCAGTCTGCAAACATGGGGGAGAAGTCCGGTGCGGGGTTTGCCAGTGAGGAGCTTCAGGTTACCACCACGGCAATGATAAGGTAGGGAACGCTGTGAAACAGCATCATCAAGAATACAGAATATATTGTGTACAGGGGTTGAATCTATCATCCTATCACCCTAGTGCAGGTAACTAATTGAATAACGCTGTGATGAGATAGTTTGGATACGCTCAAATTCATGACATGTCAACTGATATAGCCCTTCATGCCGCCAGGTTTACATGGATACTCTTGACGTTGCAATAAGGTGCCAGACCTGCCTCTCCCAACTCCCTCCCAATACCGGACTGCTTCACGCCTCCAAATGGAATCCTAAAGTCTGAATCGTTGCTGCTGTTGACCCAGACCATGCCGGCCTCGATCTCTCGCGCCACTCTGTGTGCCCTGGTCAGGTCCTTGGTGAACAGAGCCGCTCCCAGGCCATACATGCTGTCGTTGGCCAGCGTTAACGCCTCCTCCTCCGTCTTGAACGTGGTAATGGCCACGCAGGGCCCAAAGATCTCCTCCCTGAAGATCTTCATGGTCGGCTTGACGTTGGTGAAGACGGTCGGCGCCACAAAGAAACCCTTACCGTTCTGCGGAGCCGGCTCACCCCCCATCATCACCGTGGCACCCTCTTCCTTTCCGACATTGATATAGCCCAGAACACGCTCATACTGCGCTTTGGTGACCTGAGGTCCGTGGAACGTGCTCTCCTCGAAGGGGTCGCCGAGTACCGAAACCTCCTGGACCTTGGCCTTGAATTTCTCGACGAACTCGTCGTAGATCTTCTCGTGCACGAGAATGCGTGAAGTGGCTGTGCAGATTTGGCCCTGGTTGCTCATGATGCCGATGTGTGACCATGTCGCCGCCAGCTCAAGGTCGGCATCCTCAAACACGATCAACGGTGACTTGCCGCCGGTCTCCAGGGTGATGTTCTTCATGGTATAGGAAGCCATCTTCATAATCTCCTTGCCCGTAGTGGTGCTGCCGGTAAAGGCAATCTTATCCACCTGAGGATGTTGCACAAGTGCGGCACCCGCTTCCCTGCCGTGTCCGTTGATAATATTGATCACACCGGGAGGGAAGCCGGCCTCCTTGATGAGCTTAGCCAAGTACAACACGGACAGGGGAGTCTGCTCGGCCAGCTTGAGGACAACGGTGTTGCCGCAGCAGAGAGCTGGCCCCAGCTTCCAGGCCGCCATATCTAGCGGGTAGTTCCAGGGGATGATCTGGCCACATACGCCGAGAGGCTCCTTGACCGTGTAGGCAAACTTGGCGGGGCCAACGTCAATCACTTGGCCAAAGTTCTTGTCCGCATAGCCGGCATAGTACCTGAGGACGTTGATCACTTCGGGCACGTTCTCGTTAAGGGCTGTCTGATACGGCTTGCCGTTGTCCAGGCACTCGATGGTGGCTAGGATTTCGGCATTCTCGGCCACTAGGTCGGCCAGCTTGCGCATCAGGGCGCCGCGCTCAGTGCCGGATAGCGACTTCCATGATTCGTGCCTAAAGGCCTTGCGGGCTGCTGATACTGCGGCGTCAACATCCTCGGCGGTTGCGGCGTATACCGAGCAGATCTCCTCTTCGGTACTGGGGATGATCGTTAGTACCCGTAGTCAAGTGAGTGATATGGGATTTGAGACATACGTTGGGTTGATGGAAATCAACTTCTGCTCATTGGCACTTTTGACAAACTCGTTGTTGATGAACAAGCCCAGTGGCTGCATCCACTTCTTGCCGTTGGGGGCCGTAAGCTCAACTTCCATGTTGGGCTTTATGATGTTAGTGAAGAAAGGCGAAGATGATGAGAAGGTTCGTAAAGAGAGCTGGACGTGATAGACTTGTCTTCCTTTGGTCTTATACAAGTGCCTCCATAGGGGAACAGAGCCCGGCCAACTTGGGCGGAGGAAGAGGTTCATCTTATACGTAACCCGAGTTTCCTCCTTTTGCTACTACCGTTCGGCTTCAACCCCTCACCTCAGCTTCTTCGTCGACGAGTGATGAGGCGGGGGAGGGGACGTGCAGTGTTACACTGTCGTCACTGCACTTCCTTCCCAGTTGAAGCAGTGACATTGTCGCCAAGTCGGATCTCTTGGAGGATCTGAACCACCCCGACCCGGGTCAATACATCTTATCGTGAGTGCGGAGCGCAGATCAAGCGGGCCAATAGCAATGAAGTGGTATCTTGTGCCGTGGACTTCTTTCCCTCTTTGAGCTAAGACAGTAAACAGGGTCTATCCATTCCATGCTGCTCTATGTAGTAGTGATATGTACAGAAGAATTATGTTTATTGAATAACATAAGTGTCTCCCGTTCTACACTACCTATTTACTATTTTGGCTTTCCGTCTTGGCGATTTAATGCTCCTTCATCAGCAGTGTCCCTGTTGAAACTGGAGGATTCCATACCTTAGCTAAAGGCAACTCCTAAATAACACAGAAGACGGAAAGATGGAAACGAAGCTATTTCCAACTAGAAACAAACGAAGGATGAGTCAAGATGGTTCACATGGAAGTAATGACCCGCTGTTGGTCCCGATATTCAGTTTGTAATTCCCCTGTCGCTTCCCCAGAAAGGGAACGAGGGGAATGCAATGCCCTGCAGCCGCCGTAAGCGGGCATCGATTGCCGCTAGGGGCACTGGTGTGATATGACATGACGTTTTGTGGCGCCTTCCACTATTACATGCGTCTAGGACCCTCGGAAATCAGCCAGAGGGAAAAAGTCATGGAACTTTCTCTCACAGCAGATATCAACACACCGCCGACGACCCCTAGCGAAAAGACTATGCGCAACATTAACTGAACCATCTCTCGTGATGGAGTTCGCTACGACGCAATCGCCCGTGGCCTCGGAGGTATTTGCTTCAGTCGCGCTTTTCGTCATCTCGGTCATCGTCCTCCTCATCCTCCGACATTATCTTCCGCTACGAACAACGCCCGCCTACCTTCTGGTCCCCATCTTCTTCGCATTATGTCTTCCGGCAAGCATGGTACTGTTGGTACCTATCGACCTGGCCTCGAGCGCCATGGTTGATGATATTGATGCTCGGGGAATCTGGCTGGAGCGCGGTCCATTGCGCGTCTGTTGGAGAATCGCCTACTGGCTAACCTTCTGTTTGACATGGTGCGTGCTCGCTTGATGTTCTAGTCTTTGCATGACTGGAAGGCTAACGCAAACGTACCAACAGGTTCATCATACCCATCCTCGGCGAATATTCAGATTCCGGCTATCGCGATCCCCAGGCTAAATTTAGAGACTCGCTTCGCGCGAACGCCCAGTACTATGCCATTGTCTTTGGCTCCGGAATCTTGGGGTTGCTGTACGTCCTCTGGTCATATGGTGGCTTCTCCGAATCGCTCAAGAGCACTGTCATGGCTCTCGCATATTGTTGGGGTCTCGTACTGGCCATCTATCTTATGGGGCATGGCCTGGTCGCTATCCCCCGTCGACTCTTTCGGAACGCCGACATCAGTGGACGGCTGCGTAGGATTCAGACGCAGGCTCCCAAGGTGTATGATCAGATGGAGGATGCACAGATGAATCTGGATGATCTGGAGATGCAGGTGGCGGAGCTCAGCAAGCGCAGCAAAAGAGGAACTGCAAAGAACTTCCAGGACTGGATCGAAGAGTTGGTCGACCTCACTAACATTCCAGAGTCACAACTCGCAAGCACGTCTGGCGCGGTCCGCGGCTCCGGAGAATATGTCAGGACCAAACTTCCCACGGTAATCACGGAAAAGTACATGGCCGATCTCACGAGACAGTTGATTAGGGCCAAGCACGCCCGCTCTCGCTACTTGAACGATTGGAACAGGCTTCTACACGACGCCGTCAGAACACAAGCCATCATCGACTCGGTTGCTTCCAAGAGACTGGACTTTGGTACGCCTTCCCCAGGCTCCGGTTTCTGGGACAGGCACAGTCTCTTGACCCCCTATACTCGCTTCCTCTACCATTACTACGTCCTTCCCTATTTCAACCTTGCGTTTGGTGGCCTGCTAGCTCTCGCGTCAGTCTGCATTGTGTGGTCCGAAGTTGTCAAGGGCATTTTCCCAGTTCTCTCGGTCATCCGCTACTCTGTTGTTCACCATAACGTCGGTAACAAGGGCCAGATCGGGCTTGCCGGTCAAGTGATTGCTGCCCTTTGGATGGTGTACATGTGCGCTGCCGCCTTGATATCCATTACCGAAGTCAAGGTCTGGCGCGGTCGGGCACTGGTTCGTCGTAATACGGCGCCCGAGTCTGCGTTTTGGTACGCCAGCCAAGTCGCTCGCCTCAGCGTGCCACTCACGTACAATTTCATGACCTTCCTCGGCGTCGTCTACAAAGACACGGTATTCTACGATTTTCTCGGCCAGCTTATCAACCTTACGCCCCTTGGCAAGTGGTTCGACTACTTATTCCCCGCTCTCATCCTTGTCCCTGTGTGTTTCACCCTCTTTGGGCTTTACGGCAAGATTCAACGAGCGCTTGGCTTCGGCGGTGATGTCCTCGACACTCTGGAATCCGATGAGTTTGGAGCTAATTTTGGTACCGGCACCTGGCGTGAGGGCCGTGATCTCATTGAACGTGAACTCAACGGCTCGTCGGCTGCCATCCGCGGCGGCCGCCGGTCACACTACACGGACTCATCTTCTTCCTCGCAGTCGCGGGCTGCTCCCATTTTGACCATTCGGGCCAATTCAACCCCCTACCCATTACCGGGGAACCCTACAACCCCTCTCGCAACGTCGCCTAACACGCGGCCGTTGGCAAACACTTCGGCCAGGAGAGTTGGGACGGCGTCAAGGCAAGTGACGTTGGCAAGTGATGATGATGACGAGAACTTCTTTGAGGCGCTAGGCCATAGGCTTAAGAACACGATTGATACCATGGATAAACCAAAGTGGTTGACGGATCTTCCAAAGCCCAAATGGATGGGAGGAGACACCAATGGTGGTGGTGGTGGTGGTGGTGCTGGTGCCGGTTCTGCGGGTAATGGTAGCGAAAACTTTTCGGATATCAGAAGGTGGTTTGGAGGTGGTGCTGGAGGAGGAGGGAGTAGCAACAGTGGTGGTGGAGGAGGGAGGATAAGGCTCTGAGCCCCCCCCTCTTTGACCGAGTGGAGGAGTTCCTACGTTTCTTCATCTTCTTCTCAGTATTGCTTTGGGCTACGGGTCTGTTGCATTTGGTTTCGCTTTTCTGTTCAGTTTATATACCAAGCAAGCATGTATAGTGTGGCACGGATAGGTTATGGTACACCCCAGGAGATGGCGTTTTTTTTCTGTTCATAGAGACATGAGGATGTTCAAAACTGTAGAGCCTGAAGTGTCCACTCCTGGTGACTGTATGCGTAGATTTAGGGTCCCTGATGAAAATTGAACAGGCTATCAAGGTGGTGAGACCGTCGGACGAGGCTAAGAAACAAAGAAATAAATATATTTGTATATATGTGTATACATAGTGATATGAAGTGGGGGTAAATCATCGCGAGAGTGCCCCACCTGCCCACACTAGAGGTACCTCTAGCGGTGCCAAGAATGGGGTTCTCGGATTATCTCGACCGCGAACTGCAGAGCATTGGGTGTCGTAATGGCGTGTTTACACTGGTTAGAGCTACCATTACTATATAAATTCATGCTTCATCCTTCATCTCTAAGGCCATACTTTTCTCTCTATATGGTGCCCCGGGTACTCAACGGGCTATCGATAGATGTACCAGGAATTATTGAAAATTGGATATTCCTTATCTGCCCTGTACCCCACATCTGCCGGCGGTATAGTGGAGCGCGGGGAAGCGGTACCCCGTAGGCGTATCCACACTGCCGCCGTGCCCGTCGCAACTGTGCCCGCCTCACTGCTCGCTGTGGCCTGGGCACGGCGGCGCCCGCGATTGCTGCATTCAGCGACTAGCATTCCTCGCTGCTGCAACTGTTGCCAAATGCAACCGCCAATGCACCTCCGTCGTCCTACCTGACCTGTTACAATTTGTTGAAAAATCGAGGTTGCGAGATTCCAGCCAGATCTTGCCTCGCCAACGTCGACGACATACTTCAACCTCACTCCAATCGGCAGCCGTCCCCCAACGACCTGGCAACTCCTCACTTTTCTCCCGACTTGTCACCTCTTCTTCTGACTACTACTGTCCTTCACCATCTCCTCGCCCATCATCACCTCTTCAAACCTCATCCAGTCTCAGGTTGCTTCTTCGTCTGTTTGCCCTTCACGACCGGTTGTCCTTGACCAGATAAGGCAAGGGTTGACTAGGTAAGTCAGACCATCTATCAGACCGGCCCCCCACGACCCCGACTCACAACGTCTCTCACCGAGTACACGCGTGCACATTCATACATCTCACATCGGCGAGGCATTCTCATCTCGTTTACGTCTACACAGCCGCTCTTTACTCACTCTTACTTGCCAGACCGACTGCCCGGTGTTCCCTTGCCCAGCACTTACAAGGCGACTCTTCACCACCACCTAATTTGGTAATCCGAGCGGCTACGGACTTGGACCTGGACCCAGACTTGGACTCGGGACGGATCGGGAAGCAAAGTAGAGGGGCCATTGCCCGTGGGATAACTGAAATTCTCTATTGCTATCACAATCCAGGCCCATCCAACCAGCAAGGGTAGCGGCAGCACTGCAGCTGCTCTGATTTCAACATGGAGGTAAGCAAAACAAGATACACGCCTTTTACTTTTGCTCTATTTTTTGCTTCGTTTTTTGTTCTTTACCATTGTCCAGTCAAGCCTTTCCACCCGCTTCCCCTTACCCTGGTTACTACTATGAAACTTTGTCTATCCGTCTTTCTGCCGGTCTGGGACACTGGGGGAGTCTACCTGCCAATGGGGATCACGGAACCGACCGACTTGTATCTGCAGATGGGTGTGTTCGGCTTTCCAATGTTCCACAGACACCGTGGTGGTGTCATTCTATGACACTGTCCCTGATCCGTTCGGGTCATCAATCTTATTTCGTCGTTATCCCGCAAAGAGTAAATTCGGGGGAAGGATCCGTGGAAACGAAACCGCCCGTCTGGTTCAGGTTTCCTCCTTGAAAACCGGATTTTGAGGGAGGATAGCGGCGTCGGTTAGAGATGGATGAGGTGCCGTCTGGACGTTGGGAAAGTTTGTCACGCCAAACCAAGATTAGTCACCACATGACCAGCCGGCTCAGCGATCTCCGACAAACTCCATGCGTCCAGTCCCATCTTGCATCCCTTGGACATGTTACTCCAATAGTTTGCAGAAGGACTTGTTTCTCTTGGTCCGTTGTGCGGCCAGTCACCTCGTCGCCATGGCTGTCGGTCATTGTATGTGCCGAGCCATTTCCGTCGTTGTATCACCTTGGAAAATGAGCCACCTCTTCCTTCTGCCCGTATCTTTCCGTCAGCAACGCCTGACACATATTTCAGGTGGTCTTTTGCTCCGAAAGTACACGGCAACGAGGTTCGCCAAAAATTGGGTTATACTCGGAACTCTTGAACACAGAGGCTGGTTGCCCAGCGTCATCTTGTCACTTTGGGCTTGGCACCGGCATTTGATGGGAATGGCTATAAACGCGTCAAATAACGGCTTCCCGTCCCTGTTTCTGTCGTCACTCGAGCGGCTACTTATCGATGTCTGGACCGCATTGTGCTTCTTGGTACCCAATCCGCGAGAAGCTACCCCTGGATGATCAAACAAACAAGGGGACATACAAGCTAGTGCCTCAGCGATACTCAGCTGTTGAGATACTCCCGGTCTTTTGTCCATATCACCGCTGTCGATAGTGTCGCTTCGGTCGCCGAGACACAAGGGACTTTACACGGCTTCCCTTTCTCACCGAGTAATATCCGTTTCGAGGTCGTCATACCTGGTCTTCAAGCCATCACAGATCCTTCTTCATTCTACCCCCATACTGGCTTCTTTCATCATGGCATCTGCTTTCAGACGAGGCAGTGAAGCTCTCCTCGAACCCAGCACTGAGCCACGACCACCATGTGTTTCCAGGCGTCCTAGTAGGGCAATGCTAAATCTTCATCGTGTTTATGAGCAGAATCGACAACGAGTTCAACAAAATCTCAAAGATGGTGTCAAGGTACCCGAACCGATAGCAGTCCCTCACGCCAAGGGCAAGCCCCGTCTTCTCCTAATGGGGCAGCGAAGGTATGATAGTCGTGCGTATCAGGATCGCGACTTGCGCTTACACATGGACAGGAGTGGAAAATCGTCTATATCAAGCGTCGTTTTTCACAAGCTACCGCCAAATGAGACATTATTCTTGGAGTCAACAGCTAGGATCCAAAAAGACAGTTTAAAGTGAGAAGTTTTCCCTCCCTTTTCGGTCTCTTCTTCTGACAAACGGATAACAGCTCGTTTATGGAGTTCCAAGTCTGGGATTTCCCTGGACAAATCGATGTTTTTGACAACCCCGCCTTCCCCTTTGATATGGACGCTATTTTCGGCGAGATTGGCGCTCTCATCTGGGTCATTGACGCCCAAGATGATTATCTCGAAGCCGTTGCACGCCTTAATGCCACTATTCTCCACCTACAGCGCAGCTACCAGCACATCAACATCGAAGTTTTTATCCACAAAGTCGACGGCCTTTCCGATGACTATAAGCTAGACATCCAGCGCGACATCACCATCCGCATCCAGGACGAGCTGTCGGACCAAGGGGTTGAGAACGCACCGGTGAACTTCCACCTCACCAGTATTTACAACCACAGCATCTTCGAAGCCTTTAGTAAAGTTATCCAGAAGCTGATCCCCCGCCTCGGCCAGCTCGAGGCCATTCTCACCAACCTGTGCCGGACCTGCCGCTTCGAAAAGGCCTACCTGTTCGACGTCAACACCAAGATCTACATCGCCACCGACAGCACGCCCGAGGATATGGCATCGTACGAGATCTGCTCAGACTACGTGGACGTCATCATCGACTTCACCGAGGTATACGGCAGCTGGCAGCGGACCCCGGAGTGGCGCAAGCGCCTCGAGGGCCCTCCCTGGGAGCAGAAGCTCGAAGACCAGGTCGCGTGCGAATGGGCCGAGAGCGGCATGGTGTTGGCGGATGCGCAACGTCCTATTATGCTCCGCGAGGTGGATAGGTTCCTGGCGCTCGTGGCTATCATGAAGGAGGGCAGCTATGAGAAGATGCCACAGATCAACATGAATGTGGACGTTGTTGTTAAGGGGTTGACGGAGTTCTTTGAGATTACAAAGTCCAAGATGACGCCCACAGCCGTGCCAGGGGGTGTTACGGCTGTTGGAGGGAATGAGGTGATGAATGGCCATGGGATGGTGGGTGATGGTCGTTAGGGATTTCATCCGGGTGTTTGAGGCCGTCAATGAAAAGCTGAGATGATCAAAGAGAAAGAAAAGAGGCTTGGAGCGGGAGGCTACCTTGATGAAGAATTATATCCTGGCTTTTGTCGTTGATGTAAAGAATACAAAAAACAAGCATATTTATCCTGTTATAGTCAGCCCCAACTACTATTGTTGTCAATAACGCAACGGCAGCGAATCAACAGCTGAGTGTGTGGGTATACTGACACATATAAATTCAGAAAGTCCCGCGTTCTCTAGGCTATTAAAGAAGAGACACTTTACATGTAAAATCATCGTGGGACTTTCTGTGGCTACTTGCAGTTTTTGACGGTCAAAATTACGAGATGATAAGATGTTGGCTTGCTCTTCTCTTGGGCGATGCATCATCTGCCCACACTACGCAGTAACTGATTTCGGTACCGGCTACCCAACTCGCATCTGCCGTGCCTTCCATTATTCATGCGGGAATCCCACGACCGATGTGGCAGGAGCGGTGGGTCGTAATAGACCGAACTCTTCCATCGCAACTACCATCTTGGTGATTACGGAGATGGAACATGGTGACTGGCAGGAACCACCTGCGTCCGGTCTGATTGTTGGTCACGCTTTTGAAGGCTTCAACCAGCACATTCAAATGAAGTGTAATGACGGATGGTACTTGTTTGGCTGTGTGCATCGCGACTTTTAACTATGAGGAGTTGAGATAGTAGAGTTGAAGGGAGAAAGTAGCAAGTACAGTATACAGAGAAACATCATAAGATCACCAGGCTCACCAGCTTGGTTTCCTCCTGCCTTATTCTCCGCCCTGACTGCAAGTTATTTTGTTGATAAAAGTTACTAGACTTCGTGCCTTTTGCTTTGCAAATGAATGCGATATCTGTTTGAATACCTCTCGCAATCTCCCGTCTCGGTTGAAGTACCTCTAGGAATGTACTTTGCGAGACCTACAATAGATAATACGTGGTTTCAGCCTAGACTGGAAGAGAGTTAAGAAGTATGTGATTCAAAGTCAGCCCAGATGAGTTAAATGTAGTTTTCATTCCTGCTGCAACTCTTGACCTCAATCAATGAGGTGCCTTCTTCTAGGTAACTACCTAGACTGCTTTGGTCTTCTGCGACGACTTACTATTACGGTTTATCCCGAGTAAAAGCAGCGGATGCATGTCTAGTCAATGAATAGTGAACCCCCAGCTGGTATATATTCCATAGCGGCGATGTATGCATCTTTGACTGTTATGCTACCCTCGCCGCCGTCTCTCTTCCTCGAGAGCGTCTCGCCGAGCATATGTATCTATGCTAATCACATCATATACGGACAACTATGTCATCACCAGTCCACCCATCTATCTCTCACAAATAGCTTACCGAAACACTACTCGCCAATGACGCCGACACCACCGAGACTCTGATTTCCTCAAGCATACGCCAACGCCAACATCTGTCAGCATGAGCAGCAGGGAGTGAGCACTAAGTTTAGGTAGGCAGCACCCAGTCATTGTCCTTTGCGCATTCGTGGCTTGCGGCCTTGCCAGTAAGAACTGGTAGAACCTAAAAGCAATGTTCTGAACGAACGAACGGCCTAACCACGTTTTATCACATTGTCCTGCCCGTCTGTCTCTATGGCAGGTTGGCATATGCTTTCAAGGCGGAATACCTATTTCTCATTTGATGATCTGACATCCCTGGCATCCTTGATTAGTCGATACTAGCATCAGTCAGTGAGAGACAGCATGACAACCGGATAGGCATACAGCTCTGCCTTGTCTACTTGTCAACTTGTTAACTTGCAAGCTTACAAACAGGAAGCAAGGGCGAATGTTTGATTTCAGCTGTAAGTGATGATGAGTTTCCCGAAGTCGCCGATCCCGGGTTCCTCTTCGTCGGGCACATCGCATAGTTCTACACCCCCCCCTTTCAACCCCCTCCCCCATCTTTGGGTTGGTCTTGATTACCGATGGCATCAGCATTAGCTTAACCGAGGTAAATGAAGCAAGAGAGCAACGAGCAGGAACAGCAGCGGCCTGACTCCGCGGCCAAGCCCGTCACTGCCCCGTTTTTGTAGTGTACACTACGGTCTCGAGCGCCCCGGGTCACCGAACCCAAGCGACCACAATGGAGTTGATCTAGACCAACCACTTTGAGTTAATGGAAACAATAGTGATCCATTCAGATAGATCGCTTCCGAACGTATGTGGCATTGCCATGGAGTGCGCGGTGAGAGTTCGGGTATGAACTAACAATATTTAGTGTGTTTTGTGTGGCAATGAGTTAGTGCACACAATCGGCGGCCGAAATCTAAATATACTTCATATCACTCGATGTGCTTGGACCCTGGACCCTGAAGTCTGGAAATCATTCAAGTTCAGAGAATGAGGCGCAAAAACCGAAATGCTTACGTATACAGTGACATGGGAGCGACACTTTCGAGAAGTGTCACCGTAGTTGTGGCGGAAAAGAGATGGCATCGGCGGCTGCCACGTCAAGGGCTGCCTCCCGCCCCGCCGCGGCCGCCCCACCTACCGGCCGGCCGGTAAGTTGGCCACCATCCCGAAGCGAAGCGATGCTCACAGATACGCAGTGTTGCCCTTTTCCCCTTTCGGATATATCCGAACCAAGGTTAGACTTCGGCGATGGGAATTCCAAGTCCAACACGCGCTTTCTTTTACGATCTCCCGTGCAGGGACTTTTTCATCTCAACGTGGAGGAAACCCCGGCAAGATTGACACCGTGACCAGTGGTGCTGCCGAGCTCCGAAGATATCGAGGCGCAGGCAGCCAGAATGGAAATGTATGTTTCAAGCCTCGGCACTTGCAGCCACACCGCTCCATAGAAGAGCTTTTGCTTCATGGACAGCCCTGGAAAGTTTGAAAAAGTTTGTGGACAACCAGAGAACCTCCAACGCCCATACCCACCGCCCTAGCTGTCGAGTCACCAGCATGCGCTGGACGCTGAGTTGTTCGTGAGGACTCCGACTCTCAATGAGGCCATCTTCAGCTTCGCATGGATGTGGCTAGGGCTCACTGCTTAAAGGTCCGTCTTGATAGTAGAGGGGCTACCTATGACGTCATGGCTTGGTATTCCGACGACCCTTTTGCGACCACTGGCTCGCCTGGTTGACGACGACCGACCACCAAAAAGTGTTCGCAAAACCGAGCGGATCTTTACATTGAAACGCGCACGACGCGTCTTGCATTCCTCTATCCCCAATGAAACGCAGCTCGCCAGGCCTGCGCCACACCTCCACACCTTGCCGATTTCGCCGCTCTCGTCCACCTCTCCTTCCCTTCACTGGCCTCAAGTTTCAAGCCATCCTCCAATTATCGTGGTGAGGACTCCAACTGGTGGTGTTGGGGTTAACACACCAGATAGCGACCTGAGCCGCTGGAGAGTCCGCCATTTCATTGATTGAGATGGAGCTCAACAAGAGGCTTTCCCCGGTATTATCATAGCCCGATGGTCCGTCCGCCTGCAGCCAACTACAATGGGTCCTGGCTGACCGTTCGAGGTTAAGGGTACAATAATCCCGGCGGTCCAATAGCCTCGTCGTCGCGCCGTGCTAATATTGATCGCGGTGCTGGGTATGAGTCAACGGCTGCTCGGCTTGCTCTCTCACTGGATGTATGATGCAGTCGTGCTTCAGATTCGCGTTCACGCCCGCCGCGCTGGATATGTGACTGGATACACATCGGCGGTGCTAGTCCCGTGAGAACAGATCGGCCCTGCAGTCGTCCTCCCAGTTAGCCCAGCACACAAATGGAGATGAGAATCAAGAACCACCCCCGTCTTTACCCCGTCATTTCCCCGAGTTCATTCGGCCGAGCCAAGCTGTAGCAGCTAGGGAACATCGGGCTTGAGGGGAGTGAGGGTGTGTAATCAGTGATATTGTGTCAAGGGACGAGGCGTCTTGGTCCTCGAATGGAGGAAGAGGATATCGACAAGGACAAGTCGCATGGGCGCGCAGGTCGCAGTACAAGTAATACTTGCACAACGGAAAACATGCAATTGGCTTCTCCAGGTGATCTAGGTCCATGGCCAGGACGACGACGAGGTCAGATCAGGTTGATTGTCGCGTAAATTTTCTCGTTTATCTTGGATTATCCCGCGATGGGCAGTTTGCGCCGAAGGTCAAGTGACTGGCTCTTCTGGCGCTCCGAGTCGTCACCAGACCAGGACGGCGCGGTTCAGGGTTTTTTTTTTCCCACCCCATGCTGTTCGTCCCGGCAGAAGACTGGGGCTGCCGTCTCCATCCGTGATAGCCATGTGCGTCGTCCCTTTTCAATATGCTCCGATTCCGTCCCCATCACGGTTTCGTCCCTTCCGATTTGAGCCTTGCTTGTGATTTTCGCATGATGAAACAACTTACAAAGTTGTATAAGCGCATGGGGCGATGGACTAGCGCAGACCCCAGAATAAAGGAAGCTAGCCGCCCACTGGTCGAAATCCGCACGCAAACCGGCAAGTGGCGGGTCTATCGCCTCACCTACTACTACTGTACCGCCTGGCGCTGGCTGACAATTTCACAGTCAATACCGTAATTCTGATCTCCGTTACGCGCCAAGACCAAGCACATGAAAACGTGCCAAGCCAATTGTGGCTGCCCTCTCAGCTCCCAACTTTACTTCGTTGGAGAGTTGACCTTGTTATGGAAGGAATCTGGTCGATTGCAACACCCACCAACAACAACTTCTTCACTTTCAACTTGTCGGTTTTCATTCTTCGTTCCCAATATGCACAATGCGCATTGTCTGTTTCGTTTCTGCCGTTGCATACTTCTGCAGTTGGAATCTCGTTCCGCTCCTGGCCGCACAGCCCCCTTCTCTTTTGCCATCCCCGTTCCCGTCCAGTGGATTTCGATAGATCCAGGGTGGGAGAAACCTCACAAAGGTGGTCGCAGGTCGCCTCGGTCGCCTCTCAAGTGGGCAACGTGAGCAACCAAGACAGCACCCGTTCAATGGCAGCGCAGCGTCAAGTGCCCTAGACCGATACCTGCCGAGCTGTGTCTACTTGCCGCCACGAGGGCGCATCTAGGACTGTTTCGACCTACACCCTCAACGGCCTTCCACGAGAGGACAGCCGTTCAGGTCTCCCTCATGGTAGCGAGCAATGCGGAGCTACTCACATGTTACCCAATCCCACGGGCTCGATTCCCTTGTTTCGTTGCTTCCAGCCGCTTGCTGCACCCCCCCCCCCAAA